CCTTTACTCAGTACTTTGTTGAAGCACCTTTGGCAGCGATTACAGCCTTGAGTGTTCTTGGGTATGAAGTTACAAGCTTGGCACACCTGTATTTGGGGAGTTTCTCCCATTCTTCTCTGCAGATCCTCTCAAGCTCTGTCCGGTTGGATGGGGAGCGTTGCTGCACAGCTATTTTCCGGTCTCTCCAGAGATGTTTGATCGGGCTCTGGCTGGGTCACTCAAGGACATTCAGAGACTTGTCCCGAAGCCACTCCTGCGTTGTCTTGGCTGTGTGCTTAAGGTCGTTGTCCCTATTGGCAGGTGAACCTTTGCCCCAGTCTGAGGTCCTGAGCGCTCTGGAACAGGTTTTCATCAAGGATCTCTCTGTACTTTGCTCCGTTCATCTTTCCCTCAATCCTGACTAGTATCCCAGTCCCTGCCGCTGAAAAACATCCCCACAGCATGATGTTGCCACCACCATGCTTCACTATAGGGATGGTGCCAGGTTTCCTCCGGACGTGACGCTTGACATTCAGGTCAAAGATTTCAATCTTGGTTTCATCAGACCAGAGAATTTTGTTTTCGCTTTGTCATTATGGGGGTATTGTGTGTAGATTGAGGGGAAAACATTTAATTTAATCAATTTTAGAATAAGGCTGTAACGTAACAAAATGTGGAATAAGTGAAGGGGTCTCTACTTTCCGAATGCACTGTACATGGCGCATGTAGACACGCAGGACACATTACACACACCTACGCAAACACACAGCAGTTGAACTGTGGGAATGGCTCCCATGACTTGTTGGGTGGGGTGGTATGGCCACTTGCATGTCAGTCACACATTGTGATGGTGCAATATGTGTGTGGGAATGAGTAAACTTAAGGGAAGTGGGTTGCGTAAGACTGAGTGCGTGGGGTGGGGGGGAGTGTCACTAACTCAAAGATACTTGGATCCTAAGGAGAGAGTGGTGAAACTACAGTAGCAGGAGTAGCTCAGGAAGAAAGTGGTGTTTTAAACCTTTATAGACTAGTTCTTCTGATTTGATTAAATAAAATGTAAATGTAAATTTGAGGATGGATATTTTTGCAAGAGATCCGTTGCTGTTAATGCTACAAACAGAAATAAACGTACAGAGGAAGGTTGAAGCTTGTACTAACACAGTCTGGCTTGGTTTACCAGTTAGACCAAGCGAGACTAGTGCTCATTGCTGATGATGCAGCAAACTTTACAAATTACAGACCAATCTCAATTTTGCCGGCTATCTCAAATGTTAGAAAAGCTTGCATATAACAGATTAATCAAATATCTTAACAAGGAAAGTCTGTTATACAAACATCAGTGTGGTTTCAGAAGATCTCACTCCACATGGCTGTTACTTAATTGGCTAAATACATAAGGCAAATTATTGCAAAGATCATACATTTTGTTTTTTAAATCTCAAGCATTTGATACTGTTGATCATAATATTTATTATAAAAATGTGACACTATGGGCGTGACTGAACAATCTCTGCTTTGGTTTTCCAGCTATCTAAAGGATAGAAAGCAATGTGACTTTCCAAGGAATAGATTCCCCCTCTCTGGAGATTAAGTGTGTAGTGCCGCAGAGATCAGTTCTTGGGCCACTATTTCTGATTTACAGTATATAAATGATTTGCCCAATGCATCCAAAGTGCTCTCCCAGATATTATACTGAACAAAAATATTTCACATGACTGGGCAGGGGCACAACCATGGTTGGGCCTGGGAGGGCATAGGCCCACCCACTGGGGAGCCAATCAGAATGAGTTTTTCCCCACAATGGGCTTTATTATAGACAAATACTCCTCAGTTTCATCAGCTGTCTGGGTGGCTGGTCTCAGACGATCCCGCAGGTGAAGAAGCCAGATGTGGAGGTCCTGGGCTGGCGTAGTTACACGTGGTCTGCGGTTGTGAGGGCGGTTGGACGTACTGCCAAATTCTCTAAAACGACATTTGGAGGCGGCTTATGGTAGAGAAATTAACATTGAATTCTCTGGCAACCGCTCTGGTGGACATTCCTGTAGTCAGCATGCCAATTGCACGCTCCCTCAACTTGAGACATCTGTGGCATTGTGTTGTGACAAAACTGCACATTTTAGTGGCCTTTTATTGTCCCCAGCACAAGGCACACTTTTTGCACGTATGGAACATTTCATGGATCTTTTATTTCAGCTCATGAAACATGGGACCAACACTTTACATGTTGTGTTTATACACTGCTCAAAAAAATTAAGGGAACACTTAAACAACAAATCCTAGATCTGAATGAATGAAATAATCTTATTAAATACTTTTTTCTTTACATAGTTGAATGTGCTGACAACAAAATCACACAAAAATGATCAATGGAAATCAAATTTATCAACCCATGGAGGTCTGGATTTGGAGTCACCCTCAAAATTAAAGTGGAAAACCACACTACAGGCTGATCCAACTTTGATGTAATGTCCTTTAAAACAAGTCAAAATGAGGCTAAGTAGTGTGTGTGGCCTCCACGTGCCTGTATGACCTCCCTACAACGCCTGGGCATGCTCCTGATGAGGTGGCGGATGGTCTCCTGAGGGATCTCCTCCCAGACCTGGACTAAAGCATCCGCCAACTCCTGGACAGTCTGTGGTGCAACGTGGCGTTGGTGGATGGAGCGAGACATGATGTCCGAGATGTGCTCAATTGGATTCAGGTCTGGGGAACGGGTGGTCCATAGCATCAATGCCTTCCTCTTGCAGGAACTGCTGACACACTCCAGCCACATGAGGTCTAGCATTGTCTTGCATTAGGAGGAACCCAGGGCCAACCGCACCAGCATATGGTCTCACAAGGGGTCTGAGGATCTCATCTCGGTACCTAATGGCAGTCAGGCTACCTCTGGCGAGCACATGGAGGGCTGTGCGGCCCCCCAAAGAAATGCCACCCCATACCATGACTGACCCACCGCCAAACCGGTCATGCTGTCAGCGTACACAGTCTGGAGACGCCGTGGAGAACGTTCTGCTGCCTGCAACATCCTCCAGCATGACCGGTTTGGCAGTGGGTCAGTCATGGTGTGGGGTGGCATTTCTTTGGGGGGCCGCACAGCCCTCCATGTGCTCGCCAGAGGTAGCCTGACTGCCATTAGGTACCAAGATGAGATCCTCAGACCCCTTGTGAGACCATATGCTGATGCGGTTGGCCCTGGGTTCCTCCTAATGCAAGACAATGCTAGACCTCATGTGGCTGGAGTGTCAGCAGTTCCTGCAAGAGGAAGGCATTGATGCTATGGACTGGCCCGCCTGTTCCCCAAACCTGAATCCAATTGAGCACATCTGGGACATCATGTCTCGCTCCATCCACCAACGCCACGTTGCACCACAGATTGTCCAGGAGTTGGCGGATGCTTTAATCCAGGTCTGGGAGGAGATCCCTCAGGAGACCATCCGCCACCTCATCAGGAGCATGCCCAGGCGTTGTAGGGAGGTCATACAGGCACGTGGAGGCCACACACACTACTGAGCCTCATGTTGACTTGTTTTAAGGACATTACATCAAAGTTGGATCAGCCTGTAGTGTGGTTTTCCACTTAAATTTTGAGTGTGACTCCAAATCCAGACCTCCATGGGTTGATACATTTGATTTCCGTTGATAATTTGTGTGATTTTGTTGTCAGCACATTCAACTATGTAAAGAAAAAAGTATTTAATAAGATTATTTCATTCATTCAGATCTAGGATGTGTTGTTTAAGTGTTCCCTTTATTTTTTTGAGCAGTGTATTTTATTGCCACATGAATTCTATAACTACTCAACAAGAAACGACAATGGCTATGCCACCCATATTCAAGAACAACCAATTCTCAATTCCGAATGACCTATAAAAGCCCTATGATCTGGAACTCATTCCCGTCTGATTTTGCTAAGCTATCCCTGTCATTGTTTTAAAAAATTGTTTAAGAAGCACCTATTGTCCATCACAGTTGACTTTCTGTTTGAGTTTCTATTCCTTTATCTCGAGTCTAGTTTTTATTTTATCGTTTGTTTGTTTGTGTGATTTATGACCATTTGGGGTACTCGACAAGCCCTTTTGGGCTTTTTTTCCCCCTCCTGCACAGAATCTTTTTTTTTTACTGTTACAAACTGTCTTTCTGTTTCTACAAATAAACTAAACTAACCGGACAGGAGGAGAGGGCTCAAGGGCTGTTTGGAAAAACCTCCAGAATAGGGAGAGGATTAGCAGAAAGCTTCAGAGTAAATCCTATTTTTTTTCTCCATCCGGAGGGTGTTGATGTCTGACAAAGCTTAGCCCTTTAGAAGCGTCTTTTAGGAGGCAGCAGACCTGAATTCACCCTGTCTCCCTCTGTTTGAATTTGTTGCCATTTTGTTCTAGTCTTGCTTTCAATTTCCTCTAAAGCCAGAGTGATTGGTTTTGAGTGGCTGGTTAAAACAGGCCCCTATCAAACTGTCTGTGCTGCGGTCTTTAAATCAAAGCTATGATCATGACACAGTGTTCTCTTGCTTTTCTTTGAGTAGCAGAATGCTGCATTGGGGGTTTGGCTGTCTCTGCCTCCCAGGACAGTCTCCTCTCCATGGTGTATTTTGCTTCCTCTGCAGTAGAGGAACTGGTTTCCATCCGGGTCTCTGTCTGCTGCTAAACCAGAGTTTGCACGCACTGTACTCCACTGGCTGTATTGTTGAGTCTATTCTGAATGGCGTTCTCTCCTGGCTAGTCCAGTCGATGGAATGTACTTTGAGGCTTGTATTGTTGGTTTAGGATGCCCTCTGATGGACAAGTGAGTACTGCAGTGATTCAAACGTTGTCTTCTTACAGACTGGACTAAAGGCGTATTGCTCAAGGGGAGCATAGGCCATCAACAACTGTTCTTCATCGCATTCTGTTCTGGGAAGTTCTCTCCAATTCATTCCACCCCATGCCTGTTATCTCGGTCTCTGATTTCAAGCACCTGTAGTATGATAGTCCTCATACCTAACTGGCAGTCATTCTAACCTCCTGCCTCCCTCTTTCCCCCAGCCCTGCGGTGTAACTGCACCAACTGTGAGAAGTCTGGTTATGAGTGTGAGACTGACGGGGCATGCATGGCCTCCACCTCCTTCATCCAGGGGCATGAGCAGCATGTAAGGATCTGTATCGCCAGAGACAGCCTTGTGCCCCCTGGCCAACCTTTCTACTGTCTGAGTGCTGAGGGACTGCTCAACACACACTGCTGCTACACTGACTACTGCAACAGCGTCGACCTCAAGGTCCCCTCGCGTGAGTAAAGCCGAAATCACACCGGCTGCATATTGCTTGTGCATTCCACCCAAATAGCTTTCTTGTCTCCTTTCCTTTCTCTGTACTAATTTGAAAGAACAGGACTGGTGAAAGCAACCCCGTTATAGCAACCATTCAGCGTTTACCCCTCCAATGTTTTCATATCAGTGAAGATAAGGGAGAGGAGATGAAGGGAGGAAGCCACTTTGGACTATTGAGAGGCACCCTTTGTGTTTTGGTTAGACTGGAAAGATGGTAATCCGAACTGCTAACACCCTGTTCTCAATTTCTCCCTCACTCCAGTCCCTGTGAAACCAGGGGAGCTGGGCTGGGTGGGCTCTGGAGGCCCCTGGGGGCCGGTGGAGCTGGTGGCTGTGATCGCAGGGCCTGTCTTCCTGCTCTGCATGCTGCTGCTGGTGGGGTTATTCCTCTTCCAGCATCACCAGAGGACCTACAGGTGAGTCTCTGGTCCCAGGTATACCATCTCCTGAGTAGGCCCTACAGATGGGATGGCAGGTAGCCTAGAGGTCAGCGAGGTTGGCCAGTATACGGAAGGTTGTTGGTTCAAATCGTGTGCCGGTTGTAAAAGTGGCAATGGAACTGGCAACCGGAGGGCTGTGTGTATTTGGGGGGCGGTTGAGAAGATACATTTTCGTTTCTGACAAATATTATATTTTCTCTCGTACAGCCACAGACAGCGGCTGGAGGTTGAGGATCCCTCCTGTGAACACCTCTACCTGGCCAAGGACAAGACCCTGCAGGACCTCCTCTATGACATGTCCACCTCCGGGTCTGGTTCTGGTGAGTAGACTGAGACTACACTGCTTGGTTCTATACATAGAACCGCAAAGCACGTTTATTTTTTAGCCATAAACTACCCTCGCCTGCAAACAGAGGTCCCATTAGCCTAGGGATTCATTCAATTTTTAGAATATACTTTAGCCATATATGTACGTAACACAATAGATACATATGTGTATAGATACACGTTTGTATTTAGGTAAAAGCCCAGTGGCATCAGTGGTCCTCCTATCTGCTCTTCTCTCTGCTTCTTCCTGCAGGCCTGCCCTTGTTCGTGCAGCGTACGGTGGCCAGGACCATCGTTCTGCAGGAGATCATAGGGAAGGGCCGCTTCGGGGAGGTGTGGCGGGGGAAGTGGCGTGGAGGAGACGTGGCGGTGAAGATCTTCTCGTCCAGAGAGGAACGGTCGTGGTTCAGAGAGGCTGAGATCTACCAGACCATCATGCTGCGACACGAGAACATCCTGGGATTCATCGCCGCCGACAATAAAGGTGAGCGTTCCATCACCATTCTACTACAGCACCACACAGAGACACGTGTACACGCACACTTACAACACAGACATTCATGTTAAGTGAAGATATCCTTGGTGCTATGATGGTGAATTTCATCAACATGCCGTTGTTGACTCAACATTTTTATTGACGGTAGAATTATCCTCTCTCTGTCTTTCTGTGCCCCTCTCTCTCGCTCTCTTTCTCCTCTCGCAGATAACGGCACATGGACCCAGTTGTGGCTGGTCTCAGACTACCACGAGTACGGTTCTCTGTTTGACTACCTGAACTACTATTCTGTGACAATAGAGGGCATGATCAAACTGGCCCTGTCTGCTGCCAGCGGCCTGGCTCACCTACACATGGAGATACTGGGAACGCAGGGTATGCACAGCTGGGAGATGAATACGGACCATACAGTGCATTCGGAAAGTATTCAGACCCCTTCACTTTTCCACATTTTGTTACGTTACAGCCGTATTCTAAAATGGATATCATTTATTTTTTTCCCTCGTCAATCTACACCCAATACCCCATAATGACAAGCGAAAACAGGTTTTTAGACATTTAACAAAGAAAAACCTGAAATACCTTATTTACATACGTATTCAGACCCTTTGCTATGAGATTCGAAATTCAATGGAAACAGGTGCATCCTGTTTCCATTGATCATCCTTGAGATGTTTCTACAACTTGATTGGAGTCCACCTGTGGTAAATCCAATTGATTAGACATGATTTGGAAAAAGACACCTGTCTATATAAGGTCTCACAGTTGACAGTGCATGTCAGCGCAAAAAACAAGCCATGAGGTCGAAGGAATTGTCCGTAGAGCTCTGAGACAGGATTGTGTCGAGGCACAGATCTGGGGAAGGGTGCCAAAACATTTCTGCAGCATTGAGGGTCCCCAAGAACACAGTGGCCTCATCATTCTTAAATGGAAGAAGTTTGGAACCACCAGGACTCTTCCTAGAGCTGGCCGCCCGGCCAAACTGGGCAATCGGGGGAGAAGGTCCTCTGTAGCTCAGCTGGTAGAGCACGGCGCTTGTAACGCCAAGGTAGTGGGTTCGATCCCCGGGACCACCCATACACAAAAAAAATAAAATAATGTATGCACGCATGACTGTAAGTCGCTTTGGATAAAAGCGTCTGCTAAATGGCATATTAATTATTAATTAGAAGGGCCTAGGCCAGGGAGTTGACCAAGAACCTGATGGTCACTGACAGAGCTCCAGAGTTTCTCTGTGGAGATTGGAGAACCTTTCAGAAGGATAACCATCTCTGCAGCACTCCACCAATCAGGGCTTTTATGGTAGAGAGTGCAGACGGAAGCCACTCCTCAGTAAAAGGCACATGACTTTGCCTTAAGTACTTTCAGACCATGAGAAACAAGATTTTCTGGTCTGATGAAACCAAGGTTGAACGCTTTGGCCTAAATGCCAAGCGTCACATCTGGAGGAAACCAGGCACCGCTCATCACCTGGCCAATACCATCCCTACGGTGAAGCGTGGTGGTGGCAGCATCATGCTGTGGGGATGTTTTTCAGCGGCAGGGAGACTTGTCAAGATCGAGGGAAAGATGAACGGAGTGAAGTACAGAGAGATCCTTGATGAAAACCTGCTCCAGAGCGCTCAGGACCTCAGACTGGGGCGAAGGTTCACCTTCCAACAGAACAACGACCCTAAGCACATAGCCAAGACAACACAGGATTGGCTTCGGGACAAGTCTCTGAATGTCCTTGAGTGGCCCAGCCAGAGCCCGGACTAGAACCTGATCGAACATCTCTGGAGAGACCTGAAAATAACTGTGCAGCGATGCTCCCCATCCAACCTGACAGAGCTTGAGAGGATCTGCAGAGAAGAATGGGAGAAACTCCCCAAATACAGGTGTGCCGAGCTTATAGCGTCATACCCAAGAAGACTCGAGGCTGTAATCGCTGCCAAAGGTGCTTCTACAAAGTACTGAGTAAAGGGTCTGAATACTTATGTAAATGTGATATTTCATTCTTTGCAAAAATGTATAAAACCCTGTTTTTGCTTTGTCATTATGGGGTGTTGTGTGTAGATTGAGGGGGGGAAACTATTTAATCAATTTTAGAATAAGGCTGTAATGTAACAAAATGTGGAAAAAGTGACGGGGTCTGAATACTTTCCAAATGCACCGTATGTGTTAAAACACATTCCTAATTAACATGGTAGCCAGGGGGTTATACAACAAACCACTATCACGAAGTTAGCCAGTTAACTTTTGCTCCCATCACTTTACACATTACACCCTTCACTATTTTTATAGGATCCCCATTAGCTGACTCCTTGACGACAGCTAATCTTCCTGGGGTCCAACACATTACTAAAAAGACATTACAGACTAAATACTTTACAGTTTACATTGAAAGATAGTAGAGCTAGTATACATTACAAATGTTTAACAGTACTGACAGTTGATGACCTGGTTTAAATAATGTTGTGTGCTCCTGTGCTCCTTCCATTCCAGTCTTCCAACTCAGTGTGTGCTCCTCTCTAGGTAAGCCTGGTATCGCCCACCGTGATCTGAAGTCTAAGAATATTCTGGTGAAGAAGAATGGCATGTGTGCCATCGCTGACCTGGGGTTGGCAGTACGCCACGAGTCCATCACTGATACTATAGACATCGCCCAAAACCAGCGTGTTGGCACCAAGAGGTACTGGTCCCGCTAGCTGCCATATCTATTTTATGCAGTCTATTCATTCAATTCAGGACATGAACATTGAAAACCAAATATTATTTAAATACTGACTTCTCTTTTCAATCATTTGAGTTGTTTTTTTCAATTCGTCTCCTGAATTGACTGATTTGAGACCATATCTCAGTGATATGCTGGCATGCAAAACATATTCCTTTCCTTTAGTTGAAACCTGTTTGTCTGTCCGTCACCCAGGTATATGGCTCCAGAGGTCCTGGAGGAGACCATCAACATGAAACACTTTGACTCGTTTAAGTGTGCTGATATCTACGCCCTGGGGCTGGTGTACTGGGAGATAGCACGCCGCTGCAACACTGGAGGTAAGACACTGACTGGGTACCTTGTCGTCATTATTGCAGATGATCCGATCTCACAATGCCTGGAGAAGTGCTTTAGCACGTTTTGAGGGGATCAGTTTAAGCAAGGCATCGCACAATCACTCATTTTTGATCACGAGTAGTTATTTGGGATACATGGTGATTTGTAAATTAGTGATTCTGTGCAGTCTGACTGTAATGTAGTTTAATTGAAACACACTTTCACTTGTCAAGCACCACATTAATATGATAGAACAATCTTCTTAGATGTGAGCATGTGACTGACCAGGTTCTCCCTCTGTTCTGCCCCCAGGTATCCACGAGGATTACCAGCTGCCCTACTTTGACCTGGTGCCCTCTGACCCCTCCATAGATGAGATGAGGAAGGTGGTGTGTGACCAGAGGCTGAGGCCTAATGTGCCCAACTGGTGGCAGAGCTACGAGGTAGAACAAATACACTGGACAGAAACATTGCATTGGTGTCTAGTCATAAGTTATTAGCAATTGACTGCATTTAAATGTAAATATGGTGAAAACAAAAAATGGTGCAATTATTTTTATTGTACTTTATTCATTCTTTATTCACAAGTCATTTGACATTTCCTTTCCACCATTGGGACTAGTGGAAAGATATAGTTGATGTAGTTTCCTTTCCCCCCCTCTCTCATCCTCCAGTCTCTGCGTGTGATGGGTAAAATCATGAGGGAGTGCTGGTACTCTAACGGAGCGGCCCGCCTCACAGCTCTACGCATCAAGAAGACCCTGTCTCAGCTCAGTGTCGAGGAGGACATCAAGATGTAAGATAAGAGTGGGACGGACGGCAGAGCCATGTAGCTCGCTGGCGACGTACAACGATAGAAGACATGGGCTGTGTCCCAAATGGCACCATATTCCCTATCTAGTGCACTACTTTTGACCAGGGCCCATGGAAAAGAACACGGAAAGGACTGAGACGAAATGCTGCCAGTTTTAAAGCCACACCAAGTTGTGACAAGGCCTACCTCACCTTTTTAGCCAAAACTACTGAGAATCTCCCTTCTTCTCTTCTTCCTCCCACCCTCACTATGGCCTTATTCACCAGGTTATCCCAACCTCCTCTCCTCCTTCCCTCTTCCCTTCACCCACTCCATGGGCCACCACACTACAACACGATAAATGTTAATACTACCATTATTATCACCACCAACCTCCCTGTTCAGTTTTACTTTGTTCCGAGGCAGTAATTATTACTATTGTACAGTGACAGGAATTTCGTTTGTAATATTTTGTACATCTTTTTTTTGCCACAAGACTAGCTACTTCCTGAAAACTCATATTCATAATGTGGTTTTATGTGCACATTTTTAAGTTAAAGAATATTCTGTTATGAGTTTGATTTGTTTCTTTTCATGGCAAAGTGTTGCTTTTTTTATTGCTTTTGGGAGAGTGTGGGAGAGTAGCAGAAGACGCACTTGTTGTCACCCAACCATCTGTACAGGATGAAACCAACCATATAAGGCAGGAAAGTCACTTCTATGGACACGTCACAATATATACTGAACAAAAATATAAACGCAACATGTAAAGTGTTGGTCCCATATTTCATGGGCTGAAATAAAAGATCCCAGAAATTTTCCATACGCACAAAAAGCTTGTTTCTCTCAAATGTTGTGCATAAATTTGGTTACATGTTAGTGAAAATGTCTCCTTTACCAAGATAATCCATCCACCTGACAGGTGTGGCTTATCAAGAAGCTGATTAAACAGCATGATCAGTACACATGTGCACCTTGTGCTGGGACAATAAAAGGCCACTCTAAAATGTTTTGTCACACAACACAATGCCACAGATGTCTCAAGTTTTGAAGGAGCATGCAATTGGCATGCTGACTGCAGGAATGTCCACCTGAGCGGTTGCCAGAGAATTGAATGTTCATTTCTCTACCATAAGCCTCCTCAATGTCGTTTTAGAGAATTTGGCAGTACATCCAACCGGCCTCACAATCACAGACACGCCAGCCCAGGACCTCCACATCTGGCTTCTTCACATGCAGGAGCGTCTGAGACTAGCCACCTGGACAGCGGATGAAACTGGGTTTGCACAACCAAAGAATTTCAGCTCAAACTGTCAAACTGTCTCGGGTAAACTCATCTGCGTGCTCATCGTCCTCACCAGGGTCTTAACCTGACTGCAGTTCGGCATTGTAACCGACTTCACACTGGAAAAGTGTGCTCTTCGTGGATGAATGCCGGTTTCAACTGTACTGGGCAGATGACTGACAGCGCATATGGCGTTGTGTTTGCAGATATCAGCGTTGTGAACAGAAAGCCCCACGGTGGGGTTATGGTATGGGCAGGCATAAACTGCGAAAAAATTGCATTTTATCGATGGCAATTTGAATTCACAGAGATACCGTGATGAGATCCTGAGGTCCATTGTTCATTCATCCGCCGCTTGGTCCCATGTCGCAAGGATCTGTACACAATTCCTGGAAGCTGAAAATGTCCCAGTTCTTCCATGGCCTGCATACTCACCAGACATTGAGCATGTTTGGGATGCTCAACGTGTACGACCGCGTGTTCCGGTTCCCACCAATATCCAGCGACTTCACACAGCCATTGAAGAGGAGTGGGACAACATTCCACAGGCCACAATCAACAGCCTGATCAACTCTGTGAAGGAGATGTCGCGCTGCATGAGGCAAATGGTGGTCACACCAGATACTGACTGGTTTTCTGATCTACTCCCCTACATTTTTTTTTTTAAGGTATCTGTGACCAACCGATGCATATCTGTATTCCCAGTCATGTGAAATCCATAGATTAGGGCCTAATTTATTTATTTCAATTGACTGATTTCCTTATGAACTGTAACTAAGTAAAATCTTTGAAATTGCTGCATGTTGCGTTAATATTTTAGTTCACTGTACATCAGCGGAGTAGACTACAGCCATTCCTATACAGCTTTCAGAAGCCTGGAATAGCTGATTGGACAACGTTTCACATTGGTCATTTAACAGACTTGTCAAGCATTAAAACAGACTGTGCATTCTGCTACTTGAATACCCCACAAAAACATGTTGCACTCCTTGTATGTGACTCCTACATGTATCACATTTGATATTTGGTCCAGTTATGTTTTGAAATGTGGCAGGGATGTTGCTTTTTGGAATGGTTTTATTTATTAAGTGTTTTTATTTCATATTTTGATGAATACGCTGAGATTTGATGTGATTTAAGAAGCCAGTCAAAGATGTTGAGTGATCGATCTGTAGCATATTTGAATTCAGTCCAACTTTCTCCATATGTGATAAGTTAGCTAGGGTAGCGCCGATGTCGATAACCACTAGCTTTCTCAAGTTCATTTTAACGAAATAGCCATTTCCCTTATTTCACCTGTGGGTAGTGCTGGTATCCAATACACTGAGCAAATATCAAATCAAAATCAAATTGTATTTGTCACATGCGCCGAATACAACAGGTGAAATGCTTACTTACAAGCCCTTAACCAACATTTACTAAATAAACTAAAGTAACAATAATGAGGCTACATACAGGGGATACCGGTACAACGCAAATAGTCCGGGTGGCCATTTGATTAATTGTTCAGCAGTCTTATGGCTTGGGGGTAGAAGCTGTTAAGGAGCCTTTTAGACTGAGACTTGGCACTCCGGGTACCGCTTGCTGTGCGGTAGCAGAGAGAACAGTCTGACTTGGGTGACTGGAGTCTATAAGAGGCATAAACGATGGCAATGAAAATACTGTTTTACTGTAGACGCTACTGATGGATACATTTTGATTTGTATACAAAACATAGGCATCTCTTTTCTCTATCTGTACTGTGGTCATTTTTCAGTGACATTTTCAATGGTACTTTCAGCTGGTTTCTCTGAGATGCAGAACTCAAATGAGAGCTTGGCACAGACCTCAGGAAAACACATCTGTTTTATTCATTGTTTTTCTTGGGTTGTAGCTATCGATCTTTCCTTTATTGACACTGGGCTAGTTAATGATATCGTGATGTAACTATGAGCTCATCTCACCATTTTTGTATTCATTTTCAGAAAAATATGGTATTTTTGACTGAACGGGGCAAGAATAGGCTTGGATATCTATTATAAATGTTAACACTGGAACTGGGCACTCTGAAACAGGATACAATGTGTTCTGATGATGGCATGCAGAACAAGAGGCTGTCTCAACACTGGGACCTCAGTCTTTTACTGAGGTAAAATGTATAGAATGCAGAGGAAAAAAAGTATACATTTTCTATTTGTTTTCCTTTGGATTTGGGGCGTATATACCCCAGTAAATGTATGTTGCTGCTACTGTAACATTGGGAAGGATATATGACGGAGTATTTTGGGGTCAATCTATCCTGGTATTTCATGAGGGTTTTGAGGAAGAGATGGTTGTCATGAGAATCAAATATTCCTGTCCATGTTTTAGCATGGGAATTTGTTTTTTGTTATACCAAACGTCCTATTCATACTGTAAACACCTCTTCAATATTTCAAAAACCATGTTAAACTAATATTTTTTCAGGACTAGTTAGAAAATGTGTACATATGGTAGGTAGGTGATATACATTAAAATACAAGTTTTGAATTAGTTTGTCTTCTTTGAGTCGCTTTAGCCTGCAATTTAGCATGCAATTCTCAACTCGCATGTTTTATTTAAATGAAAATACGATTCCAAATTATATTTAAAATGCATTTTATTTTTCTTTAAAAGAAATAAAAGCAGAGACATGGATGATGGGGAGGGAGGGGGGAACCTGTATAGAAAGAGATGAAACCTCTGGCATCATATGTACAATTCAAAATTATATCCATACAAAACATGCCACATACAATAAAAATGATCATTTATTCATATTCCCTAAAAGCAGCTCGGCTGTACAGATGTAAAACATTTTTAAAAAGTTAGGTAAAAAAAGTTCAACTTTTAGCAAGCTCTTTATTTAAATTATAAGATATGCCGAGAACTTAAATTAGATATTCAAACATGATAGAAGGTAGGAAGAAGTTATTTAGGCTAAAATCCAGTGAGCGACAAAATGTCTTGTCATGGTCTTCCCTTCAAATAAACATACCAAGAAAAAAATATCACTGACTCAGATACTTTAGCAATATCTACCACTTTTAGAGAAGTACTCTATCCATTTACTATTGAGTGCAATTCATTCTCCGGTAAGTACGGGGTTAACTTTGAATATTTAGTCATAACATACATCAGGCCGAGTAGCCCGTTTTCACAAGGTATACCAACACATTCACTTCTATAGGGAAGATAATAAAACACGAATCATATTTAATAACTAATATCCTAGCCAGGGAGGAGTTCAAGATTTTCCATTTACTGACTCATACTAATAATCCAATTGTGACCAATCAAGGGATAGACAGGTTTTGGTAAAATTGACAAGTAGTAGCATAAATTAAAAAGTAAATGAACAAATACGTGAACAATTGTACATAAATACACAAATGCTATGCACCCTTGTACTGCTTTTACACAAGTGATCTTTCATGAAGTTGTAATAATCTTGACAACTTTCCATAATGCATCTAGAACATTCTCTTATCACTCTTGGCTTCTCATCCAAGTCATTGGAGAAGACCATACCTATTTTAACAAACTGTCTTTGAAAGCTTATAGCAAAAAATGCTAATAGAAAAACAGGTAAATGCAAAAACACTCCATTTTACATATATTTATATATCTATATACACACACACACACAGCATAATCTTTGATAAAATGATATCCAGTGGTTGATTTCTTTCATCAATTTTATTTCTCTACAATTTTAGATTTTTATTGATTTAAAAAGGGGTTGGATAAAGAGTTTGTTGCCCCCTATAGTATATATATACAGTTTGTACACTTTTGCATTTTTCTTATGTGAGGTTTTAGGTCAGGGTAGAGGATACAAAGTAGTACAGGAGACATCGTCATGGAGACTTCAGAACTCTCCCCTTTGAAGATCTACTTTGTTATTCATTTCATAAAAAAAGAAAACAAATGCCCTTTTTTACAAGTCTTCCCCTGCCCTTGATTCAAGCCTCCAGTATAGAAGACCGTACTACCACTAGAAAACCACAATACAGGGATCTTTATAAATACACCTAGCGGTGGTGTGGTTAGACAGGCAGGGCCAGGCAGAGAAAGACTCACTACAGTAAAGTTTACAACAGTCCACTACATGATATAGAGAGGAAGAGGCTAGATTCATGGTTGACGAGAAAAGAAAATATTAAAATGCAGATGGGATTTGAAGGACTAAAAGGTGGAAAACAAAATTGGATAGTAGTCTTGTCTTGCATCATTACCCGCAAGCTTTCTGCTTAATGTGTGACCTAAAGGCACAAAGCAGCAAGCGTACATTACACTTCCTTCACTCATTAGGGTAGTTGGACTTGATCGTCTTGCCAAAGACTTCTTATTAAATTAGCGCCGTGATCCTACTTCACTTTGTATTGAAGCTGTGGAAGCAACAATCATTCACACCAATCTCTCGCTCAGTCCTCCGCAACATAAGGGTGGATGTTATTGTGCGTTCAGTCACACAACTAAAAAGCATGATATCTAAATGCATTATAAATATGCAGAGAATGGCAAAAAAAAGTAGCTACATGAAATCCAGGATGACCAGGAGTCATCTAATGACACCTGTTAAGCTTGTGATTGATCTTAATGTGATATCTTAAAAAACGATCATATAATTTAATCCGTCTGTATACATAATTAATGAGGAATAATATTGTTGGCTCATTATTGTAAAATCAGCATAGAATAGATAGAGCAAACCGGCTGCTATTTTAAGTTTCCCTGCTTGTCCGAGAAGGCTATATTATTAGCCTAATGAAAACATTCCCACCGACACCTTTCTTCTCCCTTTTCCACAGTAGCAGTTACAGTTTTTACGCAAAGTAAGCAGTCACTCCCACTAGATCAATGAGGTAGACTGGGGGTCCAACTAACCCACCTTTATAAACTCCTTTAGTCAGTCAGGACAATAATAAAACCTCTGTCTTTCTGTCTGGTGCCTCTAGAGGTCAACTTTTATATTATCTTACATCTTTCTACTCCGTCTCCATCAACAATACATAGTTCTTCTATACAGACTCAGAGACACTGTCTTCAGGATTGTCTAGCTAGCCAATAATATCCACGTCGGGAAGTCAATCTTCACCAATGACGATGGGAGAGTTTCTTTTCCTTAAGGGTTAGGTTAGGAAGGGGAGAGTGCGGGAGAAGAAGAAAAGGATAGGTAAGACTTTAAAAAATGCATTAGTTTGTTCTTAGTACTTAAAATGGCTTCTTTCTTCAAAGCTCTAGGTGAGGTCTGTCCTAAGAGAGTATTGATATCACATAGATAGAATCAGAACATTTGGTAGGTGTAGAGAGGATTGTACTCCAGCCATAGTTATTGACGGGGTTGCGGTAGGTAGGTAGAGGAAAGAGTTGCTTTTGGCAGAGGACACAGTTCATCCACAAAGAGATTGTCCCACCATTCGGCTGGATGTCAATAGAGATGGTTTGTTTGCTTTTATATCAGTAATGCTCTCCAAACCTTTGGCTACAGGTGTGAATGCAAACGTCTTAGTCTTTTATTGTTTTGGAGGTTAGTTTCCCTCCTCGTTCGTCAGCTTATGAACAGCTTACGAACAGCTTATGAACTGGGTAAGTAGTTCTAAAGATTCTAAAGGCTTTGGCGCAGCAGGAGTGTTCTGTTCTGGCACCCGGGAGAAAGAAGGGACTCCCCTCTTATTCTCCCTGTTAGTTTAGTTCATCCACTTTCGGCAATTCCAGGCTCCGCAGTGGCAAGGGATCTTGTGCTGATCGTCCTCAAAGTCAAACTGATAGTCGTACGTCAGCTAGGAGAAGAGACAGAGAGGGTCAATAACGACACTGCTGTAATATATCATTATTACATGTATTTATAAAGCCAGGTTTACATCAACAGTTGTCACACTGCTTTACCGTAACACAACCAAGACCCCCAAAGAGCCAGTTTACGGCTTTAAATCAGTGAAGGAAACTTATGTACACAGCGGTACAAAAACTGTATACTGGGTATGTACATAAACTATAAAAGTGCACGCATATGACCGGGGTTCTCTGTGGTCTCTTACCTCTTCACCCTTGGGGATTCGGCGACTGGAGATAATGATGATCTTGTCCTCTTTGTCAAACGTCACCACCTCAGCAACACAGTTGGGGGCACAGGAGTGGTTGACATAGCTAAAGAGGAAAACAGAGGGTGAGACCGGGGACAAACATAATATGAAAGAGAAAGTACACGTCAACACTTACCGAGCAGGGCCGCCGGTCAGAGTGGCATCGATCACATGCTCGTTGTTGGTGCGGAACATGTAGATCCCACGGTTCTAGAAGAAAACAAGCAGGAAGAGAGGTCATAAACATTCCAATCCACTGATACCTTGAATATGAACAAATATATTACAATCTTTATCTGTCTTTTCACCATTTTGTTAAGTTTTTGTGTAAAATCAACAACTGATCACAGCTACTCTAAACAGACAAAGACTATTGACTACTCAATAGTCTGGACTGCTATTGACTACTCAAGAGCCACCCACCTGTTCCTCGTAGATTTTCTCGCGGCGGTTGGCCACCTCGTTGCGGATGATGGTTCCTATATACTCGATGACCATGGTGTGTTTGTCCAGGTCCTTGGCAGCGTACAGCCCCAGGCCCTGGATTTGGGACCGGGCCAGGTAGACGTTGTTCTTCCACTCTGTCTTCAGACGGCGGTACTGGGAGGACTTGGAGTGGACAAACTGCTTGCTGTAGGGGGTGTTGATCTCGCCGGTGAAGGTGCTCTGGTAGGCCTTGGACATGGACGTACTGTTCAGGGTGTGAGGCCTAAGAGAGAGAGACACAGAACTAGATCAGAGTCAGTCTGCACAGTCATCGTGTCATTCAGTTTAGAAATGTTTAAGTGTCACTCTTCATAACATTTGATGAAACACAAAAAATGACTTTGAGGATATTTATGTCGACAGTGAGGGAGCGCTCCCTCATTATTGTATACTGTGGATAATGCATGGAACACACTTTTTGACCAATCAGAATGTGTGGCCTGAACTAACAACTTTATAATCAACTACTAACAGACCACACAGCTAGTTATCTATGTCCTCTACACCAGTGATTCTCAACTGGATTCTCAACTAGATTTTTTCATTTAATTTTTTGGGTGGTGGATTAAAACTACTCTAGTCTGAACTTAAACTACTAAAGTCAGGTAGAAAGTGTGTAGAAATGATCATGAACATTTTAGAATAATTGAAAAAATATATATATTTATTCAATTAGCTAATATTTTCAATATAGAGCTATTAGCAGCGCTATTTAGCCGATTTGGTTGATTTTGTGGTCTCAAACCAGTGAGCTTACTAACATTCTTCATCAAGAATATGGGCAAAATGGATGATTGACAATGGAAAATGTTGTTCCCTTGTCATATAAATTGCTACATTTACTATCAATATAGCATAAAAAATTGCTGCTTCCCAGATGGCATTTTTCCCCCAAAAAATTGCATATGCAATTATTGGGTTGCAACAGACAACCAGGTCCAATTTGGGTCCCGAGGCAAAACCAGTTGAGAACCACTGCTCTACACAGCATATCGATATCTAGATTCTCTAAACAACATATCTATACCTTCTATACTAGTATACTATAATACTATTTTCTATAACTACTACTATAAATCTATTTTGAAGACTATATTGCAGTCTTACCTCTTGCCGTGTGTGAGGATTAAGATCATACAAAAAATGTATCGCTACAGCATATGATCATATTATCTATGCCATCTACGTGGAGGACTATACTGCATTCTTACCTCTTGCAGTGTGTGAGGATCTTGGGTTCGGAGCGGGCGCAGCCGGTGGGGTTGATCATGAGGGGCAGCTCCATCAGAGGGTGGCGACCATAGCGGAACACATAGTTCTGGCAGCTCTCCACTCCAGGCAACTAATAATGTAACCCACAGGATGTTAGTGAAATGAACAATGAAAAAGCATGATCCATATCTCAGATGACACCCTATTCCCTCCACAGTGCACTTCTTTTAACCAGAGCCATAGTGACTCTGGTGGTCAAAAGGACACAAAGTAGGGAACTGTGTGGGTAATAGGGTCTCATTGGAGACACAGACATTGGTTTCATGGAAGCAATGAGAGCAGAGGAAAAAGCCAAATGGCGATTCTGATTTCGGAAAGGACTTCTTACCGACTCAGTGATGCGCAGCACGGCGTGGACCGTGAGGCCGTACATGTCCTCTCCCTTCACATGGTCAGTGAACAGCTTCAGCATGGCAGACTCTTCTCTCAGCTTAGCTACAGACTGAACCACTCTGTCCCAGATACCTAGAGGGAGGACAGGAAACACAGGACATGCTTACAGACCAGATTAGTAAATTGCAGAGATGGAGTCAATTCCATTTAAATTACAGATATGGCTGTGTTCGCAATGGTGCAATTACCAAAAACTAGCAACTAAATTCCAAATGAATGGCAATTTAGACAAATTAACCCTAACTGTGGACAGTTCTGTGATTGGACATTTCAACAGAGGCAGCCTGAGCAGGGTCTGGGTGTACCTTCTGGGCTGGTGTCGCGGTAGTGCAGGTCCTCCTGTCCATGCTCCAGCACCCGTACCTCGAACAGCGGCCTTCCCTCCGTCTCGCTGATACGACAACGATACCGACACCGGCGGTTAGGCACCCGCGTGCTCCAGTAGATCCTGGTAGCCTCGTAGCCCACGGGGAAGATGGCGGTCGGAGAGTGGAAGGCTTGCATCTGAGACGGCAGCAGCTGGCCAACGGCGTGGAAGATGAGGCCGCCTACGCGGAACAGGTGGATGCGGTCGCCGCGTTGTAAAATACTAGCGATCTGCTTAACCTCGTCTCTCTCGATGTAGACGCGGCGGAACACGGCGAAGCCCGTCAGCTCCTCCTCGCTGGGTCCTTTCAGTTTGTGTTGGGTGCACAGCATGGTCTTGTCCCTGAAGAACATGCAGCGGGCCCGGATGCCGCAGGCGAAGTGGTAGACGTTGGGGCAGCGCAGGCGGCTGCAGCTGTTGGTGGCGCCCGTCTTCTGGCAGTAGGCACAGCGGGTGCGGAGCCCGCGCCTCAACGCCATTTCTACGTTCATCAGCGCGCCTCCCTGCGTCTCGTACACTTCCGTGCTCCATAGGGCGCAGTTGAGATGAACCCACAGGTCCACGTCGATGTTGAGGAGCCTGGCGGGGCCGTCCGTGGCGCCGTCGCCCTCCTCGTGGCAGAAGCAGCACTTGCGTTTGTCCCGGGGCAGTTTATCAGGTCTCAGGGTGATGCGGAGACGCTCCATGAGCTCTGAGACCCCGCGGCTGCTCTCCTTCTTGGAGCCTCCTTTACGGATGGTGATGACGATCTGGAGACGCTTCCAACGGAGGCCCTTCCACTTCTTCACCTTGGGCCGGACCACCATCTCCTCAGGGTCGGGCGAGAGGGGCCTGCTGCGGTGCTTCACCTTGGGGGAGATCACCTCCAGGCTGGGGGTGGGGGATGTGGGGGTGTCCTGGGGCTGGGGGGCTGGTTGGTCAGCAGGCTTGGCATCACAGTCCGCCTGAGCAGCAGGAGCCTCAGCAGAGTTAGGAACAGGAGCCTTAGTGTCAGCACCAGGGTCAGAGTCAGGGAGAAGGACAGGGTCAGGAGGGGGAAGGATGGCCTCCTCAGCCTCAGGCTCCGTTTTGATCTGAACAGTGGCGGTGGCAGGCTCCGTTTTAATCTGAAAGGTGGTCTGAGCAGGGCTGGAGGGAGCTTGAGAGGGAAAGGCTAGCTGAGAGGGGGAGGCTGGCTGGGATGGGGAGGCTGGTTGTGTGGGAGGCTCAGGTTCACTAGGAGGAGCTGGAGGAGGAGAGGGAGAGGAGGGCGGGGAATCCTCGACAGGGATGACGGGGAGATGGCGTACGTCCAGGTCAGACACGTTGGTGGTGTAACAGTGCTGAACCGGTTTGTCCTCCTGTTCGGGGAACTCCTGAGAGAGAAATGAAAGTGTTTTGAGGAGTCTCCTCCAGGTCATTGACATTTGACAAAAAAGGCCATGTGCAAAGGTCTGTAGCTAACCTGACTAATAGTAATTTATTGGAGTTATATAGCTCTATTTCCAGACGCTCAAAGCACTCTGTGTGTGTGAGTGTAAATGATGTCTATGGTGTATACTATATGTAGGCACTTGATTAGTGTCATAAGGGAGACTATAATAATAATAATAATAATAATAATAATAATAATAATAATAATAATAAGCCATTTAGCAGACGCTTTCATCCAAAGCTTACAGTCATGTGTGCATACATTTTTACGTATGGGTGGTCCCGGGGATCGAACCCACTACCCTGGCGTTACAAGCGCCATGCTCTACCAATTGAGCTACAGAGGACCACGACCAGGACCAGGACTAGGCATCTACCACCATCAGATTACAGGGGGGGTAATGTAGCCTGTTTTTTGTCCCCCACTTTGGTTCTGAAATCACCATCACCCACTAATTAACTTGTCATTTTTGCAGATTAAGTGTTTGAGCTAGTAATGTATCAATATTTATCATTTACAAATGAGCTATGACATAGCCAATGAATATATAGAACAACTTTGGATTTCACCCCCATCTCAAAATCAAATTGTTTTGACCGTTTGGACGTTTTTAGTGAGCTTCTTTTCTCCTCCTGCTTTGGCCGGTCAGTGCACCTTGCAAAAGTGATTCCTTGTTATGAAATTATAAATGTTACCCTGTAGCCTATATCTAAAAATGACCATATACACTGATTGTTAAAAGCAAAACTACCAAAACTATTGCTGATGGTAAACCTGAACAATGAAAATAAAATATATTGTAAGGCCCGTTCAGCAGGAGTAGCCAGATGAGAGTTGCGTCTCCGGTAGCTTACATTTATTCCGGTAAAAAACAATTTTCAACAGTGCATACAGTGGGGAAAAAAAGTATTTAGTCAGCCACCAATTGTGCAAGTTCTCCCACTTAAAAAGATGAGAGAGGCCTGTAATTTTCATCATAGGTACACGTCAACTATGACAGACCAAATGAGATTTTTTTTTCCAGAAAATCACATTGTAGGATTTTTAATGAATTTATTTGCAAATTATGGTGGAAAATAAATATTTGGTCAATAACAAAAGTTTCTCAATACTTTGTTATATACCCTTTGTTGGCAATGACACAGGTCAAACGTTTTCTGTAAGTCTTCACAAGGTTTTCACACACTGTTGCTGGTATTTTGGCCCATTCCTCCATGCAGATCTCCTCTAGAGCAGTGATGTTTTGGGGCTGTCGCTGGGCAACACAGACTTTCAACTCCCTCCAAAGATTTTCTATGGGGTTGAGATCTGGACTGGCTAGGCCACTCCAGGACCTTGAAATGCTTCTTACGAAGCCACTCCTTCGTTGCCCGGGCGGTGTGTTTGGGATCATTGTCATGCTGAAAGACCCAGCCACGTTTCATCTTCAATGCCCTTGCTGATGGAAGGAGGTTTTCACTCAAAATCTCACGATACATGGCCCCATTCATTCTTTCCTTTACACGGATCAGTCGTCCTGGTCCCTTTGCAGAAAAACAGCCCCAAAGCATGAAGTTTCCACCCCCATGCTTCACAGTAGGTATGGTGTTCTTTGGATGCAACTCAGCATTCTTTGTCCTCCAAACACGACGAGTTTAGTTTTTACCAAAAAGTTATATTTTGGTTTCATCTGACCATATGACATTCTCCCAATCCTCTTCTGGATCATCCAAATGCACTCTAGCAAACTTCAGACGGGCCTGGACATGTACTGGCTTAAGCAGGGGGACACGTCTGGCACTGCAGGATTTGAGTACCTGGCGGCGTAGTGTGTTACTGATGGTAGGCTTTGTTACTTTGGTCCCATCTCTCTGCAGGTCATTCACTAGGTCCCCCCGTGTGGTTCTGGGATTTTTGCTCAACGTTCTTGTGATCATTTTGACCCCACGGGGTGAGAACTTGCGTGGAGCCCCAGATCAAGGGAGATTATCAGTGGTCTTGTATGTCTTCCATTTCCTAATAATTGCTCCCACAGTTGATTTCTTCAAACCAAGCTGCTTACCTATTGCAGATTCAGTCTTCCCAGCCTGGTGCAGGTCTACAATTTTGTTTCTTGTGTCCTTTGACAGCTCTTTGGTCTTGGCCATAGTGGAGTTTGGAGTGTGACAGTTTGAGGTTGTGGACAGGTGTCTTTTATACTGATAACAAGTTCAAACAGGTGCCATTAATACAGGTAACGAGTGGAGGACAGAGGAGCCTCTTAAAGAAGAAGTTACAGGTCTGTAAGAGCCAGAAATCTTGCTTGTTTGTAGGTGACCAAATACTTATTTTCCACCAAAATGTGGAAATAAATTTGTTAAAAACCCTACAATGTGAATTTCAGGATTTTTTTCTCTCAATTTGTCTGTCATAGTTTTTTAAAAGTTTTTTTAAAAGTTATATATATAGTTGACTTGTACCGATGATGAAAATTACAGGCCTCTCATCTTTTTAGGTGGGAGAACTTGCACAATTGGTGGCTGACTAAATACTTTTTTTCCCCACTGTAGATAACAACTACCTAGCAAATTACATAGGTTGTCATTCAACTAATAAAGCTTAATATCGCGCAAGCCATTTTAGCATTTCAATGCTGAAGGTGCCACACAGATGTGCAAGATCAGGAACAGGCCGAAGCTGGGCACAGTGCGCAAATTGACTAGGCTACTGATGTTCGCTAGGGTTATTCAGCATGCAAAATGACTTCTAGACCTACGATTGTCAACACAGTTACATGCTTAGTTTGACACTGGAGGATGCCTCAGTTGTCACAAAAGAGGAGGTAGAAAGCAATGAGCACAAAACAAGTGTGAATCGGCTATTCGTAAGGTTTGAATCGATTGTCTTTGGACCGATGCATGCTACATTCGGATCAATGTGGTTGTCCGCGGACCGATTCAGTCCTATCTTAAACATTTGAATCGGAGGCCAATGCGTATCGGTGAATCGTTCCACCCTTAATAAATATAGCTACATCATAAATATATAGGGTTATATCATAGGGAGACTGCACAGCAGGCCTCCAAACTAACACTTTATCCTGATGGCACTGGTGTACGAATGTTTTCAGTTGGTGGCACCAGCCCATGATTTGGTCGCACCAATTTCTTTCCACACAATATCACTGCTCAAAAAAATTAAGGGAACACTTAAACAACACATCCTAGATCTGAATGAATGAAATAATCTTATTAAATACTTTTTTCTTTACATAGTTGAATGTGCTGACAACAAAATCACACAAAAATTAATCAACGGAAATCAAATGTATCAACCCATGGAGGTCTGGATTTGGAGTCACACTCAAAATTTAAGTAGAAAACCACACTACAGGCTGATCCAACTTTGATGTAATGTCCTTAAAACAAGTCAAAATGAGGCTCAGTAGTGTGTGTGGCCTCCACGTGCCTGTATGACCTACCTACAACGCCTGGGCATGCTCCTGATGAGGTGGCGGATGGTCTCCTGAGGGATCTCCTCCCAGACCTGGACTAAAGCATCCGCCAACTCCTGGACAGTCTGTGGTGCAACGTGGCGTTGGTGGATGGAGCGAGACATGATGTCCCAGATGTGCTCAATTGGATTCAGGTCTGGGGAACGGGCGGGCCAGTCCATAGCATCAATGCCTTCCTCTTGCAGGAACTGCTGACACACTCCAGCCACATGAGGTCTAGCATTGTCTTGCATTAGGAGGAACCCAGGGCCAACCACACCAGCATATGGTTTCACAAGGGGTCTGAGGATCTCATCTCGGTAACTAATGGCAGTCAGGCTACCTCTGGCGAGCACATGGAGGGCTGTGCGGCCCCCCAAAGAAATGCCACCCCGCACCATGACTGACCCACCGCCAAACCGGTCATGCTGGAGGATGTTGCAGGCAGCAGAACGTTCTCCACGGCGTCTCCAGACTCTGTCACGTCTGTCACATGTGCTCAGTGTGAACCTGCTTTCATCTGTGAAGAGCACAGGGCGCCAGTGGCGAATTTGCCAATCTTGGTGTTCTCTGGCAAATGCCAAACGTCCTGCACGGTGTTGGGCTGTAAGCACAACCCCCACCTGTGGACGTTGGGCCCTCATACCACCCTCATGGAGTCTGTTTCTGACCATTTGAGCAGACACATGCACATTTGTGGCCTGCTGGAGGTCATTTTGCAGGGCTCTGGCAGTGCTCCTCCTTGCACAAAGGCGGAGGTAGCAGTCCTGCTGCTGGGTTGTTGCCCTCCTACGGCCTCCTCCACATCTCCTGATGTACTGGCCTGTCTCCTGGTAGCGCCTCCATGCTCTGGACACTACGCTGACAGACACAGCAAACCTTCTTGACACAGCTCGCATTGATGTGCCATCCTGGATGAGCTGCACTACCTGAGCCACTTGTGTGGGTTGTAGACTCCGTCTCATGCTACCACTAGAGTGAAAGCACCGCCAGCATTCAAAAGTGACCAAAACATCAGCCAGGAAGCATAGGAACTGAGAAGTGGTCTGTGGTCACCACCTGCAAAACCAGTTCTTTATTGGGGGTGTCTTGCTAATTGCCTATAATTTCCACCTGTTGTCTATTCCATTTGCACAACAGCATGTGAAATGTATTGTCAATCAGTGTTGCTTCCTAAGTGGACAGTTTGATTTCACAGAAGTGTGATTGACTTGGAGTTACATTGTGTTGTTTAAGTGTTCCCTTTATTTTTTTGAGCAGTGTATATTTTTTTGTAATGATCTTATAAAGTCAGTCATTCACTGTGCTTTATTAAGAACTGTATTACACTACTGAGACTGTATTCAATAAATAGGTTGTTTCATTTAACATGTCAAAGCAAGAACGCATGATTCAAAATATTTTGATGTACAACCTAATCCAGTGATTGCCATGAATTTTGGTTTGACAATTAGGCTATGGTTATATTTCTATGTTAAAATAGGACTCCAGATTATTATTATTATTTTTTTTTGTTCAAAACAGGCATTTGATACATCTTTATGTGCACTAATATCACATAGGCCTGATTCATTTGGGGCTAATTTACCACCTGAGGGAGTGGAAACTTAGTCTGATCACTAACTAAATATAAAACCCACAACTAGTAGTATTAAATCGAACAGTACATTTCATGTCCTAAAAAACTGCAGTGGCACTATCCAATGAGGCATACATGCACTTGCAATGGCTGGTGTGCATTTTTTAAAGCCATATCAGATGTCTCGGTTATAAAATAGTGTGCTACTAGCTCAATATTGAGAAATCCTCACAGCTCACCAAAGCTGCCGGCCCCAGCGAAACAGGCACTTTCACAGTAAGGTCTACACCTGTTGTATTCGGTGCATGTGACAAATACATTTGATTTCATTTCATTAGGCCTATAGAAATCATGAGGATAGTGCACTTTACTGTTTGACCAAATAATTGCTTTATCCGCAAAAAATGTTTTGAAGTTCTGATTGAGGTGATCAGATAGAATGTGCAGCTCGCACCGATTAAGACCAATTCAAAATGTACCTCGCACAGCCAAGTTCAAGGGTCGCAAAATGAGACTACATGGCCGCAGTCTGGAGCACTGCTGCACAGGGATGTGAGCAGGACAAGGATTTTGGCCCAGGAATAGGTCTGTCTATTATATTGGAGGAATATCAGGAAAGCAGGAATTTTCTGATTAATAAGGAATATTCACATCCCTGAAATGGAGAGAATGTGACATACCTGTTTGATGAGTGAGAGGATGTCCACCTGTTTCTTCAGAGTGCAGCCTGGCAGAGAAACATCAAACTGTCTGAGCCACTCTGCATCCTGGTTGGGTGAACTACCATCTATACCACCAGTCTTCACACACGGGGTACCTGAGGGGAGAGTTTACTATTATAAATCGGTTTCTTTTCTGTTTCTCCAATTATTTTATCTAGCTAATAATTTAAGATGGGGGGGGGTTCAACCTGGAGAAACATTAAGCTTAGGCATAGATCTAGGATCAGCTTATTCTCCTCCCAAAAATGTTATGTTTTTGGTTAGATCACTATTTAGTAGGTAACTACATTCTATTTGGGACTTAACTGTGAGGATAAATATAATAGAAATCATCTGGAGGTCCAGTACCTGGTTGTTCGGGGCTTTTTCCTGGTCCTGAGGCTCCTGCTCTGCCCGGGCTGGGAGAGAAAGCCACCTCATAGGAACCAGGCATCCGCATGTGGAGGAGCTGAGCCACCGCCACCATTACATGGTTCAGATTCTGGAGAAATAAACATCAACCCACCCATCCATCAAGATCTTAACTGTCCCAATTGTTGTTGTTTTTTCTTGACAGACAGTTCATGGTTTAGTTCAGATAGGAGCTAGCCTGGTCCCATATCGGTTTGTGCCATTTGCCAAACGTGACAATGACCATAGGAGTTGGCAAAATAGCACAAACTGATCTGGGACCAGGCTAGATAGGAGATTGGTTGGAGTGAAAATGAGAGGGGGTCAGAAAGGGGTGTAGGGACGTAAGAGGGTTAGCTCAGTACCTTGGCTGCAGCGGAGGACAGTGCGAAGGTCACAGCCACCTCGTTGCTCTTGGCTTTGTCCCAGGGGTTGGTTGTAGACACCACCTTGTCATCCGCTGCTTCAAACGGCTTGTTCTCTGGAAACACTGGACAAGGACAGAAAAAAGATGACGTGGACTGGCAAGAGGAGGGAATTCCTAAGTTAATATTTCCGAAGTGATAGTCCAATTATTAGTTTGGTACTACATTTTGAAATATTTTAGTCATTTAGCGATGCTCTTTGACGCACGCTCAAGAGCAACTTACAATAAGTGCATTGTCAACAAGTAACCTATATTTTTTATGAGATCAGAAGAATGTGTAGTGGTCCTACCTGGGATGGCAGTGCGGGGGATGAGTGGTATGGTAGGGGAGATGGTTCTCTCGGTCTCCTCCTCTTTGGGTTCTCTGAGGCGAGGGAAGCGGGGTGCCTCGTCACCTAGGTCACTCTCAGGAGAGGATGCTGGAACAATACTGTCTGGAGCGTCGCTGTCCTCATCACTCTCCATCCTGAAAGATAGAGGTAAGGTAATGTTTGCAATCAACTTCATACTAAATAACTACTCATTATTATGAGTAGTTATTTTAGTACTGAGAGCAAAATACTTGCTCTCCATCCTGGAAAATATGATCTGTCAAGGGCACACTGTGTATAGGATGGGAGGGTACTATACATGACAGAGGAGGCTACTCCAGAGAGAAAAAGGATGGTCCTCCTCAAAATATTGAGGAAAAGTTAAAAACAATAACAATGTGATCCCAAGGGGGGAGAGAGAAAAAGTAGCCACCGACTCGCGCTAGTTAGACAAACTTGTAAATGACATAGGTTATCCATCATCCCATTTGTCAGTGCCTGTCTTTAGTGCATCAAATCGATGTAAAGAAACTAGCTCTCCATTTGGCAAATCTGACCATAATTCTATCCTCCTGATTACAAGCAAAAACTAAAGCAGCGGGTACCAGTGACTCGCTCAATACAGAAGTGATCAGATGACGCAGATGCTAAGCTACAGGACTGTTTTGCTACCACATACTGGAATATGTTCCGGGACTCATCCGATGGCATTGAGGAGTACACCACATCAGCCACTGGCTTCATCAATAAGTGCATCGATGACGTCGTCCCCACAGCGACAATACATACATACCCCAACCAGAAGCCATGGATTACAGGCAACATCCGCATTGAGGTAAAGGGTAGAGCTTCCGCTTTCAAGGAGCAGGACGCTTATAAGAAATCCCGCTATGCCCTCCGACGAACCATCAAACAGGCAAAGCTAAGATTGAATCGTACTACACCGGCTCCGATGCTCGTCTGATGTGGCAGGGCTGGTAAACTATTACGAACTACAAAGGGATGCACAGCCGCGAGCTGCCCAGTGACAAGAGCCGACCAGACGAGCTAAATCACTTCTATGCTCGCTTTGAGGCAAGCAACACTGAAGCATGCATGAGAGCACTAGCTGTTCTGGACGACTATGTTATCACGCTCTCCGTAGCCGATGTGAGTAAGACCTTTAAACAGGTCAACATTCACAAGGCCGCAGAGCCAGACGGATTACCAGGATGTGTACTCTGAGCATGCGCTGACCAACTGGCAAGTGTCTTCACTGAAATTTTCAACCTGTCCCTGGCTGAGTCTGTAATACCAACATGTTTCAAGCAGACCACCATAGTCCCTGTGCCCTAGAACACTAAGGTAACCTGCCTAAATGACTACCGACCCGTAGCACTCACATCTGTAGCCATGAAGTGCTTTGAAAGGCTGGTCATGGCTCACAACACCATTATCCCAGAAACCCTAGACCCACTCCAATTTGCATACCGCCCCAACAGATCCACAGATGATGCAATCTCTATTGTTTATTTATTTTTTATTTATTTATTTCACCTTGAAATAAATGAATTACTTAAAAATCATACAATGTGATTTTCTGGATTTTTGTTTTAGATTCCGTCTCTCACAGTTGAAGTGTACCTATGATAAAAATTACAGACCTCTACATGCGTTGTAAGTAGGAAAACCTGCAAAATCGGCAGTGTATCAAATACTTGTTCTCCCCACTGTATTACCTCAATTACCTAGACTAACCTGTGGCCCCGCATATTGACTCTGTACCGGTACCCCCTGTATATAGCCTCGCTACTGTTATTTTATCATTGCTCTTTAATTATTTATTTTTTACTTAAGTTTATTTTAGTAAATACTTTCCTAACACTTATTTTTCTTAAAACTGCATTGTTGGTTAAGGGCTTGTAAAGTAAGCATTTCACTGGAAGGTCTACACCTGCTGTATTTGGCGCATGTGACAAATAAAATGTGATTTGATGATAGCCAGATGTTAGCTAGCCAGCTAGCTAGGCTAGTTGAGGCTATTTTACCGCGCTCCCCGTCCTTGTCTACAACAACTCCATTCAGATTAAACAGCAGCCTACCTGTTTGTTGCTCGTTGTAGCCTACTCATTTAGCTAACTATTCTGTAATTTGTATTCTATTTTGCATTGATAAGAGATCTCCCACTTCACGTTGCTCACATGGAGCCTCTGACTGTAATGCCAACAATCTACACGCTTGAAACCTGTGTAGGTTATACGGTATGTATTTTTATGGGGCGCACGTCATAAAAAATACATTCAAAAGTATGTTTTATTAAATTAAGAATTTCAAATGTCATGGTATATCCATATATATCAATGTCACAGACACCTTTATTTAATTGAGACAGACTTTTCATTTTTAAAATAGGCCTATGATTTTTTTTCTTCAAAGAAATGAATACTCTCGCAAGTATTCAAATACTAATGTCAATTCGAACGACCGTGCCCATCCCTAACACAGGATTCAGATAAGCTCCATATCATATAATCAGGGCCTAAAATGAACACCAGCCAAATGCGGGTAGATTTTGGCATTGGCGGGTAAGATATCTATTTCACCAGCCACGTTTGCGGGTGGTCAGGGCTCCACAGTGTGGGCATTGTACATGCATTTGTGAATAAAAACAGTCAAGTATGATCACTTACATAGTTAAATAAATGCTGCAGTGGCTGTTTTTTGTTTCATAGCTGGTAAATTCATAGCATAAAGTCAAAGATCTACGAATCCTATAGCCTATCCCACCTCGTGCTGCAACACCACCTGGCTGAGGGCTGTGTGCGTGAAGAGCTGAGTGAAATAAGCATTTTTAGAAGCGCTGCGGACAGCCATAAAAGTTGGTCTAATATACACTACCGGTCAAAAGTTTTAGAACACCTACTCATTCAAGGGTTTTTCTTTATTTTTACTATTTTCTACATTGTAGAATAATAGTGAAGACATCAAAACTATGAAATAACACATATGGAATCATGTAGTAACCAAAAAAGTGTTCAACAAATCAAAATAAATATATCAAATAGCCACCCTTTGCCTTGACAGCTTTGCACACACTTGGCATGCTCTCAACCAGCTTCACCTGGAATGCTTTTCCAACAGTCTTGGAAGGAGTTCCCACATATGCTGAGCACTTGTTGGCTGCTTTTCCTTCACTCTGCGGTCCGACTCATCCCAAACCATCTCAATTTGGTTGAGGTCGGGGGATTGTGGAGGCCAGGTCATCTGATGCAGCACTCCATCACTCTCCTTCTTGGTCAAATAGTCCTTACACAGCCTGGAGGTGTGTTGGGTCATTGTCCTGTTGAAAAACAAATGATAGTCCCACTAAGCCCAAACCAGATGGGATGGCGTATCGCTGCAGAATGCTGTGGTAGCCATGCTGGTTAAGTGTGCCTTGAATTCTAAAGACATCACTGACAGTGTCACCAGCAAAGCACCCCCACACCATAAAACCTCCTCCTCCATGCTTCACGGTGGGAAATACACATGCGGAGATCATCCGTTCACCCACACAGCGTCTCACAAAGACACGGCGGTTGGAACCAAAAATCTCAAATTTGGACTCCACACCAAAGGACACATTTCCACCGGTCTAATGTCCATTGCTCGTGTTTCTTGGCCCAAGCAAGTCTCTTCTTCTTATTGGTGTCCTTTAGTAGTGGTTTCTTTGCAGCAATTCGACCATGAAGGCCTGATTCACACAGTCTCCTCTGAACAGTTGATGTTGAGATGTGTCTGTTATTATTTGGGCCGCAATTTCTGAGGCTGGTCACTCTAATGAAATTATCCTCTGCAGCAGAGGTAACTCTGGGTCTTCCATTCTTGTGGCAGTCCTCATGAGAGCCAGTTTCATCATAGCGCTCGATGGTTTTTGCGACTGCACTTGAAGAAACTTTCAAAGTTCTCGAAATGTTCCGAATTGACTGACCTTCATGTTCATCTTTTACCAAATAGGGCCATCTTCTGTATTGTCACAACACAACTGATTGGCTTAAACGCATTAAGAAGGAAAGAAATTGCACAAATTAACTTTTAAGAAGGCACACCTGTTAATTGAAATGCACATCAGGTCGCTACCTCATGAAGCTGGTTGAGAGAATGCCAAAAGTGTGCAAAGTTGGCATCAAGGCAAAGGGTGGCTGTAAAGAAAAACCCTTGAAAGAGTAGGTGTTCTAAAACTTTTGACCGGTAGTGTACTTGAAACAAAAGTCTACTTGGCTATTTACCTTGTTTTGTTCACAAGCTAGGTTGTTTTTCAATGTTTGAGTTTCAACTGATAGGGAAGAGAAGATAACGCGGCAACTCGTCAGACTCAATCTCACATGCAAAACATGACTGTCACGTTACCACGGTAACCTCCCACCCTTAAAGGGGCAGGTGAAAATGTTGTCTCATCTGTGATATTTTGGTTAAAACACTCAGGTCACAAAAAATGTTATGAAATTAAACAATATACCACATTACTTCTTACTAGTAATACATTTGTTTTAGAAACATTATAAAGCATGCTCATCAGTTTTTTTGTGTTTTCTTTGTGTAATTTTAGCACACATAAAATATTTTGTCTGGTAAAAAATCTGAGTGGCTGGTAGATTTTTAAATCTACCTGCCACAGTGGCTGGTGGACCAAAACGTTTATTTTAGGTCCTGCATATCATACCTGATGTCCTCGTTCTGGTTATGAGGAGGGGTGGGGAGTGCTGCAAGGATATCCATACTCTTTACCTCCTCAGTGACAGAATCTGCAGACACATTGTAGAGAGAGATGCGATTAACATACTGTTCAGCTGCTCATAAAATCTGACTGCACTGTACAAAACCCTTACATTGTTCCTATCTGGCTCGAAGGACCATGAAATTGCTGAGGGTTTTGGATGACAAATTCATTACCTGAATTTGGGGGTGCCTGTATAAAACCATACAGGTACTCGGAAGTGAGACAAAGTGACTCTTTATTTAAAAGAAAGACTTAAAAACACTTAAAATATATTTATTTAAATTATATAAAAGCCTCGTCTTACCCATAGTGTCCTCTGTGGTCTCGGAATCCTTCTGTACCTCAGTCAGCTCCTCCACAGCAGTCGTCCCGTTGAGCATCTTGTGCTGCACCGAGGGGGGTGGTGTGGGGGGCAGGGAGGACGGGGGTGTTGGTGGATTACTGAGGTTACTCTAAGGATATAGGGTGCCGTGGTTAAACAGTGAACAGTGGGATAATTGAGATCAATAAAAGCCATTGTTGTCATATAATAATGATAATAATTTATTAAACTTCTATAGCACTTTTCATAACAGAAAGAAATCTCAAAGCGCTTCAAAAGCAAAAAATACGCACATCTTGTTAAACTGCTGGGTGAGTGAATATACATAAATAAAGAAAATAATGTCTGAGAACACTGTTGCATAAGAGCAATATGTAGCTGGAAATCTAGACCTTAACAGTAAGTCTATGCTGTACACATCAGCTTGTTGAAAAGACAGTACCTTGGTGAGAAGCTGAGAGTAGTAGTCTGGGATGTTGTCCAGTACTGCATTTCCAAAGGAGCCCTTGAGCTGGGCCTTGCCGTTGGCTGAGCTGCTGCCGAAAGGGGCGAATAGGTCCAGACTGGCAGTGATGGAGGGCTCCATCAGGGGAAGGAGAGAAAGGCCCTGGATGAAAATAATGACAACATTTGTAAGTTTCTGTCACAAAAAACTAAACAAGCATGGGGAAAGCCAAATTAGGTATTACTGTAAAAAATGGCATCCTACCAAATATGCACTGCATTTTTTAGAGAGCGCTTTTTTTCCATTGCAATATCAAAGTTATCAAATAATACAGCATACACTAAAATCAACAGTTCATTTCCACCCTTTCATTTAAATTAAAGTGTCCCACTACGTTTCGGTGAGAAAAGGTCTGGTGCTCTGAATTCATTCACCAAGCCTCGGAGTTCATCTCCTCTAACCTGTTTCAGTTGTTTCATCAGGGCTTCAGTGCTCTTCCCAACCTCCTCTTTCTTCTTTTTACGGGACTGGGGCGCTCGTTCTCCAGTCTTGTTGGTGCGCTTTGCCTTGGCAACAGGAGCCCTCTTTGTGATGGACTGCAGATCCTGTGAAGAGGACAAACAAATGCAATGAAGCAAGGAATTGCACCATCATCCCATTTGAGAGGACTATGACATTCTAAGTACATTTCTATGACTCTTACCTACTCCCTGGCAAAAAGGAGAAGAAGATGTATAACAGACATAACGGATAGGATATATCTGACTCACCTCCATATTGCGTGGAGTCCCCTGTAGTTTCTGCTCTAGCATGGCCAGCTTGCTGTTGATGTGTCCGTTGATCTCGTTGTGGATGCCGTCAGATGGCCTATGAGCTGCCAGCTGCAGGTTCTTGGTCCTCAGGAGCTTCTGCAGCAGCTGTTGTCCTGTCTCAGTCCTGGGGACGTGGGCTCCTGGGTCCCCTCCTAGTCCAGGACCAGTGTTACCAAACCCTCCAACCGGCTCCCCAGTCACCTCCCTCTTGATGGCCCCAGAGTGTGGACCACCACCTCCTTCCCCATCACAGGTCACCTCTCTGGGCTCCTGTTTGATGTTCTCTAGGGTCATCTTACACAGAGCTCCCTCTCTGGAGCCTGGTGGAGATTGAGGACCACCCTGGTTCTCTGAACCCTGTTGTGGATGCTGCCGTCCCTGCTGTCCACTCTCACCCTTCTGAGGCGAAGGCCCATTCGGGGGGACTTGGCTCTGAGTAATGTCGCCACTTCCGGCCTTAAGCCCAGGGTAGTCCAGGGGACTCTTGGATGCTCCAGGTGACCTGAGAGGAGACGCCTTGATCTGACTGTAAGGACTACCTTTCCCAGCTGCACCGTCAGTTACAGACGGAGAGGCAACGTGGGTGGAGTGTGGCGTGCCTGGGGTAGCTGGGCTCATGCCTGCTTCCTGTTTCTGGACTGAGGATCCTGCAGGGGATCCTGCGTGGGAGGGAGAGCCCTGGAAGCGTTGTTGAGCCATGTGGATCTGTGGTTGTTGCTGGTGTTGCATGACTTGGTTGGGTTGACGCATCCCCATCGCCTGTGCCATGGCGTGGCGCTGGGGGTCACCAGGGGAGTTTGCCAAGGGTTGGCGGGGAGACATGGGCCTTATGAGGCGGCCATGAGGGGGCCCACCACGTACCTGCCCCATGGGGGAGCGAACCATGGGTACCTGGCATCTCATCATCTGGTGTTGCTGGGCCTGTTGTTGCTGAATCATCTGCTGCTGCTGGACACTCAGAGAATACTGAGGCGAGGCTCCTGGCTGCTGCTGTTGGACTACAGGTCCCGTGATCCCTTGCTGCTGCTGCATCTGAGTCACCACCACGCCCGGTGGTTGGCCGAGGCCCATCATCCCTGGTTGTTGCGGGGAGCCCACTCCCCCTGGTTTCCCCAGAGCTCCTCCATAGTGCATCTGCTGCTGCTGGGCCTCCAGACCTCCAGGCATCCTCTGGACCTGTCCCACCTGCTGCCCTGATCCTAGGGGCCCCATCTGCCCTGGCTGTCCTTGGCCCACCTGAAGCCTCAGCATCTGGCCCTGTTGTTGTTGCTGCTGTTGGAGCTGGCGCTGTTGGATCATGGCCTGGATGTGCTGTATCTGCTGGTTGGGGGTGAGGTGTCGGAGCTGGGGGTTCTGGGCTATGATAGCCTGGATGTTGACTGGGGTGCGTATCTGACCAGGTGGACCTCCAGGCCTCTGGCCAGGCATCATGCCCTGCTGCTGGGCTCTCAGCATGCCCATCATGGCCTGCTGCTTCTGCTGCTGGGCCATGAGGGCCTGTTGCTGGGGACTAGGGTGGCCTGGCATACCAGGGACGGGCTGAGGCTGACCAGGGTGGTTCTGTTGACCCATCACATTTTTCATCTGGCCCATATTGTCATGTTGTTGTCTAATGGGGTCTTGGGCTTGCTGCATAAGATTCTGTTGTTGTTGTTGCTGTTGTTGTCTAATGGGGTCTTGGGCTTGCTGCATAAGATTATGTTGTTGTTGTTGCTGTTGTTGGGCCATGTAACACATCTGCTGTCCTTCCTGCTTGACGGTAACCAAACCAGACTTTGAGGGATCAGCATTGAGGGAGTTCTGTCGCTGTAGAGAGAGTTGTTGTTGAAGCTGCTGTTGCTGCTGTGGTTGCTGCTGTTGTACTTGAGGATGCATGCCTGCCTGTTGGTAACCTGCTTGCTGTTGATGTCCAGCTTGAGCATTTTGAGGCGGTTGTTGTTGTTGTGCCTGTTGCTGCTGCTGGGCCATGTATTGCTGTTGTTGTCCCACTACCGCCTGTTGCTCTCCAGCAGCCCCTGGTTGGGTCATCTGGCCAGGGGTTGAAGGTCCAGCTCCACCCTGCTGTGGAGGGGTCTTGGAGCTAGGACTAAGGATGCCACCCTCCCCCTGCTGCAGCCCCTCAGTTGGTTGAGGGGTGACCCGCGTGCTCCCCCCTGCTGAAGCGGGAGAAGATCCCATCTGACCTGGGGTAGCAGGTTGAGAGAGTCCTCCGTGGGAGTCTTGAGCCTGGATGGGTTGGCTGATGAAGCCCTGTGGTGGTGGTTGCCTAAGCTGTTGTTGTGCCACTTGCTGCTGCTGCTGTAGCTTCTGTTGCGCCAACATGCGCTGAGCCAGGATTTGTTGTTGTTGAGGTGTGAGCTGGGCCTGGCCGGGTCCTCTTAGTCCATGGTGCTGAGGGGGTCCCCCTACTCCCTGCTGTCCCATTATGACCTGAGGCCTCTGTTGCTGCTGTATGCCTGGCTGGGCCCCCATCAACCCTGGCTGGGCCCCCATCATGCCTGGCTGAGCAACCATCATGCCTGGAGGCTGGTTCATAGGCTGCCCTCCCATCAAGGTCTGAGGTGGCTGGGCCACAGCCTGCCCTGGTACCATTCCCTGGGGCACCATGGCCTGGTTGGGCATAATTCCCTGTTGGAGGTTTGGTTGTTGTTGTTGACTAATCAGAGAGTTACCCATGACGCTTGGCTGTGGCAACATACCTGGTTGGACACCTGGATGTGGCATGGGCTGCTGGCCTTGCATCATCGCCTGTTGTTGCTGCTGCTGTTGTAGTTTCTGGATCATCTGCATCCTGTGTTGTCTCTCCTGGAGAAGTCTTGGGTCTGCTCCTTGGACTCCTCCTGGACCCTGGGGGAAGAACCCTGCAGGAGGACAAACAGGAGGACCAGGGGATCTGACTCCCAGGGCTCCGGGGTGCTGGCCTCCTCCCAGGAACGGCTGTCCCTGTGGGGGCATTCTGACAGGCATACCTCCCTGGGGCATGATTCCTGGAGGTTGGCCCATCATGGGAGCTCCTTGCTGGCCCATCATCATCTGCCCGGGCATCTTGGAGAGCATGTGGGTCCCCTGGGTGGAGGGCCCTGGGGCCAGGAGACCAGAGCCCTGCTGGTGCTGCTGCTGCTTGCTCCTGTACTCTGCAATCAGGTTGGTGTGTTCCTTTTGCTGCTTTCGCACCTGAAACACAACGAGAGATATGGGTTAACAGGAGCCTAGTACCATGTTAAAGTAACTGTCCAGTGTTTCCAGATTTCTATGAAATATGACTTAGAATTAGAAATATGGGTGAAATCGTTTTCCTTCCAAAAAATAGTAATTATGTTAAAAGGGACATTTCACCATTTAGCAAATTCAAATTCATCATCTAAAGCACCACCCCAACTTGAAAATATGTGAAATTGGCACAAGTTGAAAAAAAGCAGCTTTTCTGTGTTGGAAAGGCGTGGGCATACCCCAACAACAGAATGTGTGGGCGTATACCGGTCATTAAATATATTAATGTGAGTAGACCGCTGACTGGCCAGCTACATCATCCTCCATGAGGAAATAGCAAGCATTTTTTAAACAGTCTGAGATACAAGATTGGGGTGGGGATTTTGAAGTGTTTTTTATCCAATGTATGCTTTGGGCACAAATACACGATGAGTCAACAACATTATTTGGGTATGAGTTAACAGAACATGAACTTTTAAAAGTGAGACTTTCACTGGACAGTTACTTTAAGACTGGAAAGCATGATGGTGGGTGGGTGGGTGGATGGATGGGGTAAGGATTTTCAGAGAGTCTTCCCCACCTGGTCCAGCTGTTTCTGGATCTTGCTCTGCTCCTCTGTGACCAATTTGAGTTTCTCTGCGTCAGCCTCGGCAAAATCACGGCCTGCCTTTTTGGCAGTGCGCTGCTTGGCACACAGAGCCTTACGGGACTTGCGGTGAGCTCCGATCTGCTCCTCCAGGAACTTGAGCTGCATCTGCAGCAGCTGCTGGGTGTGTAGGAGCCACTCTTCATACTGATGCTGCTCTGTATCGTCTGGTAGGGAAAACAGGGGGGTGATTAGTTGACCAATTCAATCAGGTGTGCTTGTACTGGAATACATCAAATTATGTACAATGGCTGTGGGTACTCAAGAAGAGGTTTGGGGAAACACTGGACTACATCAACTAACAAATATATGTAAGTATTATAAAGATGAGAAATGTGTAGAACTTACTGATGATCCCTTGTACAAACTGGGGAGGGTTGGGTCTTGATTGTGTTGGGTCACTGCTTTCCCCTTCCTAAAAATAAAAAGGTGTCAAAATACATCAATCAGCTTCTGTTCAGCAGGGTTGCCCACTCAGTCCTCTGCTCTTCGCTGTCGCCCTTGAACCCCTGGCAATACAAATAATGGAGCATCCTAATATCCAAGGTCTTAAAGGCTTATAGTAGGAAACATAGAAAGCTGCATTTAGTTATATGCAGACGATGTGCTTTTATGCCTCTGGGACCCTTTAGTCTGTCCCTAACCTACTAGACTTAATCAATTCATTTGGCAAACTATCTGGCTATTCAATAAATTGGGGGAAAAGTAATCTCATGTGCATCTCAGATAATATTACAGCAAGTGAGTTAGAGAGGATACCATTTAAAGTGGTGCATGACCACTTAACTTACCCGGGACTAAAAATATCTAGAAATCCATCTTCAAGCTTAACTACAGTGAGCTGGTTGCAAAGCTAAAACAAAACAGAGAGCTGGAGAATATTGCCTCTTTCTATGATGGGGCGCATTAATGCCATTAAAATGGTTTCTCTTCCCAGGTTCCTTTATCTTTGCTAGAATCTTCCAATTTTTCTTACCTTATCATTTTTTAAGACTTTGGACTCAACATCGGCTATGAAAAGCCAACTGAGAGACCTGAGCCCTAGGACCATACGTCGGGACTACCGGCCGTGGTGACTCCTTGCTGTCCCCAGTCCGCCTGGCCTTGCTGCTATTCCAGTTTCAACTGTTCTGCCTGCGGTTATGGAACCCCTACCTGTCCCAGACCTGCTGTTTTCAACTCTTAATGATCGGCTATGAAAAGCCAACTGAGATTTATTCCTGATTATTATTTGACCATGCTTGTCACTTATGAACATTTTTGAACATCTTGGCATGGTTCTGTTATAATCTCCACCCGGCACAGCCAGAAGAGGACTGGCCACCCCTCATAGCCTGGTTCCTCTCTAGGTTTCTTCCTAGGTTTTCGCCTTTCTAGGGAGTTTTTCCTAGCCACCGTGCTTCTACACCTGCATTACTAGCTGTTTGGGGTTTTAGGCTGGGTTTCTGTACAGCACTTCGAGATATTAGCTGATGTAAGAAGGGCTATATAAAATAAAATTGATTGATTGATTGAACAATCGTATCATTTGTCTGGGGTTACAAAAACCATCGTATTTGTAAAGCCCACATACAAAATGCCAAGGAAAGTGGCGGCTTAGGCATACCCATCTTTAAGCATTATTACTGGACTGGGCTGCAAATGCCAGGACATTAACGTACTGGCAACTTGGTTTCCCTGATAAATTGGACACTGTTGCCCCCGTGGCTAAATATGGAAGTCAAGTCTGTAACAAATTCCTCCAATGCAGAGTACCCAAACAAACTGACAGGCAACAACCTTGTTTTAAGAAATTCTTTAAGAATTTTAAACCAGATTAATCATGTTTATAAAGGTGCCTGATACCTCTGTATACACCCCAATATGCTTAAATCATTACTTTGTTCCATCTCATTCAGATAAGCTGTTTGTTGAATGGAGGGAGAAGGGCCACAATTGAATACTTTTACATAGATAAGCAATTAGCATCATTCATCCAATTAAATAATATATTAAATCTCTTCCATTCACATTTTGTTCCGTTATTTACAAGTCAGACACTATTTCAAAGGGAAAATTCAAAATGTTGACACCCTCCTTGTATAACATTCGTTTTATGATTTGCTACAGCGCCCTCCCAACTCAAAACACCTCATCTCACAGTCTGACTCCTTTTTCTCCAACTACACAGAGGCCTCTACTGGTCATCTCAAGGAGACCTGGGGTAAAGAGTTAAATATTGAGATCTCAGATGCTCTATGGGGAGAAGCCCTGTCTAGAATTCACTCCTGTTCCATCAATGCCAGATATCAATTGATACAATACAAAGTCATGCATAGACGTCATTAATCCAAAACCAAATGACATAGAATTTACCCCCAGGTCTCCCCACTCTGTCAAGTGTAAAGCCTCAGAGGGTTCATTAACTCATCTTTTTTGGCTCTGCCCCCTACTTAATAATTTTTGGAGGAACATCTTTGATTGGTACTCAAAGGTACAGTACCAGTCAAATGTTTGGACACACCTACTCATTCAAGGTTTCTATTTAATTTGTACATTGTAGAATAATAGTTAAGACATCAAAACTATGAAATAACACATATGGAATCATGTAGTAACCAAAAAAGTCTTAAACAAATCAAAATATGTTATATTTGAGATTCTTCAAATAGCCACCCTTTGCCTTGATGACAGCTTTGCACACTCTTGGCATTCTCTCAGCCAGCTTCACCTGGAATGCTTTTCCAACAGTCTTGGAAGGAGTTCCCACATATGCTGAGCACTTGTTGGCTGCTTTTCCTTCACTCTGCGGTCATACTCATCCCAAACAACCTCAATTGGATTAAGGTCGGGGGATTGTGGAGGCCAGGTCATCTGATGCAGCACTCCATCGCTCTCCTTGGTAAAATAGCCCTTAAAACAGCCTGGAGGTGTGTTGGGTCATTGTCCTGTTGAAAAACAAATGATAGTCCCACTAAGCCCAAACCAGATGGGATGGCGTATCGCTGCAGAATGCTGTGGTAGCCATGCTGGTTAAGTGTGCCGTGAATTCTAAATACATCACAGACAGTGTCACCAGCAAAGCACCCCCACACCATAACACCTCCTCCTCCATGCTTCACGGTGGGAACTACACATGCAGAGATCATCCGTTCACCCACACCGCGTCTCACAAAGACAGGGCGGTTGGAACCTAAAATCTCCAATTTGGACTCCACACCAAAGGACACATTTCCACCGATCTAATGTCCATTGCTCGTGTTTCTTGGCCCAAGCAGGTATTTTCTTCTTATTGGTGTCCTTTAGCAGTGGTTGCTTTGCAGCAATTCGACCATGAAGGCCTGATTCACACAGTCCCCTGTGAACAGTTGATGTTGAGATGTGTGTTCCTTGAACTATGTGAAGCATTTATTTGGGCTGCAATTTCTGAGACTGGTAACTCTAATGAACTTATCCTCTGCAGCAAAGGTAACTTCCAGTCTTCCATTCCTGTGGCGGTCCTCATGAAAGCCAGTTTCATCATAGCGCTTGATGGTTTTTGCGACTGCACTTGAAGAAACTTTCAAAGTTCTTGAAATGTTCAGTATTGACTGACCTTCATGTCTTAAAGTAAACATGGACTGTAATTTCTGATGGACTTTTTTTTTTTTTACCAAATAGGGCTATATTCTGTATACCCCCCCCCCCCCCCCCCCCCCCCCCCTACCTTGTCACAACACAACTGATTGGCTCAAATGGATTAAGACGGAAAGAAATTCCACAAATTAACTTTTAAGATGGCACACCTGTTAATTGAAATGCATTCCAGGTGACTACCTCATGAAGCTGGTTGAGAGAATACCAAGTGTGCAAAGCTGTCATCAAGGCAAAGGTTGGCTATTTGAAGAATCTCAAATATAAAATATATTTTGGATTTGTGTAACGCTTTTTTGTTTACTACATGATTCCATATGTGTTATTTCATAATTTTGATGTCTTCACTATTATTCTACAATGTAAAAAATAAAGAAAAACCCTTGAATGAGTAGGTGTGTCCAAACTTTTGACTGGTAGTGTATATTAGAGGGCCATTGAACCTGATGCAGAACTTGCTCTCTTTGGCTGCTCAGAGTCTGTTCCAAGATCGTCCTATGAGGAACAACAGGCTCTGATGTTTGGAATGGTGGCTGCAACAACAAACAAATCCTCACAGAATGGAAGTCACCCACCCCCCCTTGCTTCAGTAGATGGCTAGCAGAAATGATTAACACCATTAACTTGGAAAATATTCGTTTTTTCCGTACTTTCTCAAGATTTGGTGTCAGTTTCTGGACTGTCTGGACAGAGACTGACTGTGAAAACTGACTACATTTTTTTACATTTTAGTCATTTAGCAAACGCTCTTATCCAGAGCGACTTACAGTTAGTGAGTGCATAATTTTCTTTATTTATATTTGTATTTTTTTCATACTGGCCCCCCGTGGGAAACGCCATGCTCTACCAACTGAGCTACACGGGACCACCGTGTTGTAATTGTTGCTCTATTTTTGTCCCATGTCTTGCTTAAGCAATACTTAATTTAATATGTCTGGCTGCTAATTTTTTTGTGTGCTTTTGTTTTGTACTAAATTGCAAAAGAAAATCCTTTAAAATAAAATACACAAAAATAATAATAATAATACATAAATCAGCTAAACAGATTGAGTGATTGTGTGTTGAGGATCCCACAGCAAATGATCTGCTTTACAGGACGAATATTATGAACACAACTATAGTACCTTAGATGGGCCAGATGCGAGTTGACCCTGTGGGTCTCCTGTTCCTGGTGCTGACGCTAGTCTCTGGGCCAACAGAGAGACCTGTTGCCTGTTGATGCCAGGGGGTACCCCCATTGGGTCCTGTGCCAACACTCTCTTGATGCCCTTCAGTGCCACCATCTTTGCCTTGGCGATGGGATCCATAATGTCGTCAGTCACAAACTTGTCTAGATCTGTGAAGGAGCAAGCAGAAACACCGGGAAAAATATATTAAAGGAAAACGTCATGATTCAAAAAAGGATTCAGGAATCATGCAAGAGTCATGATTCAAACAGTCTTTATAAATAAGAGTCATGATTCAAACAAGATCAAACAACCTTGAGAACTCATTTATTTACCTTCATCAGGGAAAAAGTTATCAGCCAGAGTTGACTGTTTGATCTGTTGTTGCTGCTGCTGAGGGTTGAGCCCTGGGTGAATTCCCCCAGGATGCCCCACCCTCATCATTCCTTGTTGCTGAGCCATGGCAGCCATGTGCTGTGGCGTCATCCCAGATTGTCCCATGATCCTTTGCTGCTGCAGGAGGTGTGGAGGGCGTGGCACCATACCTGGCTGTCCCATCATGCCCTGGGGTGGAGGGCGATGGTGTTGGGTCAGCATGATATGTCCAGGACCCCCCTGGTGGTTGGGGTGGCCTCCCATGTGCCCCCTCATCGCCCCCTGGTGGAGGGAGCTGAGCTGCTGCTGTTGCTGCTGTTTCTGGAGCTCCTTCTTCTCGTGCTCCAGCAGGTCCTGGATCAGCAAGGGAAGCTCGCTGGCTTCCAGAGAGCTCTCGACTTTGTCTAGATCCACGGCTGGGGAGTGCTGTCCCCCTCCATCGGGCAGCCCCAAAGGGTCCTCCCCGAGAGAGGATAAGGAATCAGCCTGACCAGGAAGAGGGTATGGGAGCCCTCCTAAACGCACAGAGCTCAGGGAGGCACCCTGGTTCTCTGGTTGAGTGGAGGATTTGTTTGTTTCAAGGAGCATGGAGACTGCTTCTCCCATCTCATCCTTCACCACCGCTTGGCCTGGCTCGAGCTTTATCCTGGAGGTGTCGGCAGACTCCGAGGAGGAGGGATGGGGGGTTGAGGACGATGTGGAGCCTCCTGTGTTTGGGACTGGATTTTGCTCCACTTTTGGTTTCTGTTCCACTTTGATGTGCTGAGCTCCAGAGGTACCTGGTGTTTCACCCTCTGCTTCCACCAACCGTAGCTGGTCCGAGAACACATCCTTGGGGTCCCCTTGGTCCAGCTCGGGGTCCGTATAAGCCAGCAGGTCAAACTCGTCACTGTTGAGTAAGTCGTCTAGGTGCGGGTCTGTGGTTTCCAGGTTGTCAAGGTTACCCAGGTCGTCGTCACCCTTATCAGGGTCTAGATCCAGAGCCAGGTCATCCTCATCTTCCATTCCTCCATCCCCGGGGGCATTCCCTAGCCTTTTAGGGGCAAACGGATCCTCCAGGTCGGGCTCGGGGAGATCAACATTAGGGTCCCCTGAAGTTCCAGCCTGGGACTCTGTGGAGTTCTGGGGAGGCTGGTGCTGCTGCCCAGAGTGAGAGCTGGGAGTGTTAGCAGTCTGAGAAGTGCCTGTGTGGGGCTGGAGATGGGGTTGTTGTTGTGAGGGGCCAGTGCTCTGCTGGGGCAGTAATAGACCCATACCACCCTGCTGTAGCCCCAGCCGTGAGTCTCTGACCCCGTCTGTCTGAGAGTCCATACCCTGAGTCATTGGATGATGAACAAACTGGCCGGGGGCCATTTCCTGCTGCTGGGTGATGTAGAGGCGCGGCCGTTGCTGGGGCCCTCGTTGGAGAAACTGGGTCCCCAGGGGCAGCCTCTGGGAGTTGTGCCTCAGCTCGATGAACTGTGGTGGGGGTCCTCCGGGGTCCATGCCGGGCTGCATGTTGATGGGGGTATTGAGGTGGTGCCTGGGGCCCACACCCTCCATGCCAGGCTGGGGGAACCGACGGGGACCTGGGCCCTGCTGCCACTGGCCAGGGAACGGAGGTCGTCCATACATGCCCTGGGGGTTGGGGGGCCCTGGTTGTCTACAAAAGAGAAATACAGACAAAATGTCAAAACGTACTGTAAGCTAGTGAGAAAGTGTTGTGCACAAAGGTTATCTTTGCTGAAATAACTCCTGATGGCATTTATTTCAAATGTACAGCTATGTGTGCATTTAAGAAAGAGACAAAACACAGAAGGAAGAAAGAGGTGGAAGAGAAAGGAGAGATTTGAGTGTATACCTGAGCTGGTTGGGGTCCATCATGGCAGGGGTTCCTGGAGGTGGCAGACGGCCACCATCCATCTTCCCTGCCAATGCTGCCTGGGCACCAGCAGCAGCAGCAGCACGGTCCTACAGGGACAAACAACAAGGACCTACTTTATCAATTAAAATACTAAGGAACCGCTGAGAATCACCAGCCAGACATTACCAAAGGCATATTCCGTAGGGAAAACTGTAGAAAAACTTTTTGCAATGGAAAACAAAAAATGTGTTCTTATTGGACAAGTTCAAGTAGTACCTCCCAGTTCCACTCAGATTCAAAACATTTTGAGCCTGACCCAAGTTGATGCAAGTTTATGTCGGACATGTTGTTTGACATATTATATAGTGTACCTGTGGGTAGGGTGGTGGAGCGCGGCGTGCTTTGTCTTGCTGATAGACTGCCATGTCTCCTCCAGGCCAACAGGGGGCGGCACTGCTGGCTGCTGCAGCCTCTTTCTCCTGCCGGATTGAGTTTCGCTGCATCTGCTGTCGGATCAACAACTCCCTCAGTTTCTGTCGCTATCAGAGGAAAAGAAGAATCACCGGTGAGAGGTTATATCAGGCCTAAGCATGACAACAAGGGACAATTATTTATCTTATGATGTTGAAGGACTCTTAAAAGATTAGCCCCATAGTCATACTGGAATAAATGATATCCTAATTAAAGCAAAGCAAATAGAACATGAACCTGTCTGTGCTTCTCTAGCTCAGAGGGGCTGAGGCCCAGTAGTGCAGGATCCTGAACCGCTGACATGTCCGGCATCTCCTGGGCGACGCCGGGCATAGCCCCCTGGGGTTGAGGTGCATCCGGGGGGTGGGGGGCTGTGGGGTCCTGCTGGGGGGTCATCCTGGAGTGGAAGTCAGCACCCATGGCCTGAGTCTGGGGCTGTTGCTGCTGGAGCTGCTGTTGTTGTTGTTGTTGTTGTTGTTGTTGTTGTTGTTGGAGGAGTTGTTGTTGCTGCTGCTGTTGCTGCTGCTGTTGCTGCTGCTGCTGCTGTTGTTGCTGCTGTTGTTGCTGCTGCTGCTGTTGTTGCTGCTGTTGTTGCTGCTGCTGCTGTTGTTGCTGCTGTTGTTGCTGCTGCTGCTGCTGCTGTTGTTGTTGTTGCTGCTGCTGCTGTTGCTGTTGCTGCTGTTGTTGTTGTTGCTGGGCCATCTGATAGGCCATGTTGGGGCCCCGGCTGAACCCAGGCGGCCCAGAGGGCTTCCCAGAGAGAGGGTCCCCTACAGGGGTGGAGGACGGGGGGAGTGAGGGAGGCTGGTTGGGGTGAGGTGAGCCTCTGTAGCTGGGGGTGCCCTCTGGAGCAGCGGAGGTGGGCCGGGGGGGCTTGTGCAGAGCAGCAAAGGGGTCCCTGGACTGGGGGCGCGAGGGGGGCTGGGAGTAGGGGTCAGGTGACTGGAAGCGCGAGGTGGAAGCCGGGGACTGGACAGAGAATGCATCGTTGGAGAGGGCTCCAGGAGTGAGGGGGGACTGGGAGCTGCCTTGGGACTGGGGGCTGGAGGGGACCCTGGGGCAGGACTCCTGCTGGGCCTGGGGATGCCTCTGGGGGAGGGGGGAGCAGCTATCCCCAGACTGGGGCCTGGGGGTGAGAGGAGGCTGGGCATAGGGGTCCTGGAACGGGGTAGAGGGGGACTGGCGGTAGACCTCAGAGGGGTGGTTGGGTGAGGCTCCAGGGTGGATTACCATGCCGCCATCCCCTTGGTGCATCCGGGGCGTCATGGGAGCCTTGAACAAGCCATCCCCAGAGTCCAGCATCCCTGCTGGGGAGCCCGTGTTACTCAGGTCCTGGCGTCCCGTGGAGGAGGAGCGGGGAGAGGGTCCCCCACTCATATCAGCCCTGTACTGCCCCTGTCCCATCCGAACAGGTGAGGACACCTGGGAGGGGGAGGAACCGTATTCTGGACGCCCCATCCCCTGCTGCTGGCCTCGGAATGGGTCTCCATAGTGGGTGGTGTGGGGCGGCGAGAAGAGAGGGGAGTCCCCAGGCCCTCCACCCCTGGACCGAGGGCTTTCTGGGGGGCCTAGGTGCTCCTGAGAGCCCTGCTGTGACTGGGGTAGGTGACCCTGGATCTGTTGCTGCGGCCTGAAAAAGGGGTCCACCTGCTGGGCCCGCCGGGGAGTCCCTGGAGTCCCTGGTTGCATGTCGAAGGGGCCGAGGCTTGCCGGCCGTCCCTGAAGAGGGCCCTGTGGGCCGGGGTGGGGGTAACCTGAGGAAGAGGCCTGGCCCTGCATAGGGCTGGAGGCGGCCTGGTGGGAGGAGTACGGGGTGGTGGGGTGAGAGTGGTGAGAGTGGTGGGGGGACTGGGGAGGCAGCTTGGCAAAGGGATCTGTCCGCATATCTGCCGATGCCGAGCCCGGGGTCTTGAGAGGACCGTCGGGGAAGAAGACGGAAGAGGATCCCGAGTCGGGGTGGAAGGGGAAGGGGCTCTCTGCTGAGCTGGGCTGAGAGGGGTTGGAGACAGAACCTGAGGGCGGGGGGATCTGGAGGTGCAGGCTTGGACGTTCACCTTTGACCCGAACAACACCACCACCATCCTCCGTCTTGATGGGCCGACACACCTGGCTCTCTGCCTGCTGTATAAGAGAAGAGACAGTTAGAGAGAAGCAAAGAGACTGTATTTAGACATCCTTACAGTGACAACTGTATGCTTTGGGCTGGTTTCTTAGACCCAGATTAAGTCTCGAAGTGCATTAAAAGCATTGTCATTGGAAATTCTAAACATTTTTTAGTTTAGGAGTGGGCTTGATCTGGATCAAGGAAGCTGGCCCTATGAATCAATTATCTGGCCTAAACTCCCACCTTCTGTGCCTTGTTGATCCGCTGAGCTGCTCTGTTGTCTTTGGCCTTTTGCAGAAAAGGAACCTTGTCTGCAGCTGAAACCTTCCTCCAGATCTTCATGATCTGTTTACACCGACTGGACCAGTCTGTCAAAGAGAAGAGAAGAGAGAAGATCACAACTTACATTATTTATATTCCGGTAAACTGAAGTCAAAACATTTGACATTTGGTTCATTTTCAGAGATAACAAAAAAGTTTGTTTCATTAGAACTTTGGAAGCACCATCTCATCCGGAGCAAACGTCCTAAAAATGAGAACAGTGCACTTTTTCATTGTCTTTTTTAAACTAAGATCTCCCTCCATCCACTCACCTGGGTAGTCCTGTCTGAGAGTGGGGAAGTTTGTGTTTGCGTAGAGTACAGGGGAGATGGTGGACATCTCTCCCAGCTCCTCATCCTTCTCCCAGCGCTGGAGGCTGCGCTGGTTATAGGACAGCCCGTCTCCATCTGCCTCGCCGGGGGTAGGAGGAGTGGAGGGGGTGGCAGGGGTGGAGGGGGTCGCCCATGGGCTCTCCTCTCCCCCGTCTGGACTGAACAGGCCTCCCCGGTCCCGCATGTCGAAGAACGGCGATTGAGAGAGTCCAGGGAAGGAGTCCATCACACCAGCTGAGGGCAGGGACCCTGAAAGGGATCAGCTTGTATGAGTGACATGTCCTGCTTTACCATGAGCCTAACGGTTCCTGAACAACATAAAGGGTCCTTTATAACAACACAACAAACTATTGCTCCATATATCATCACACTGTTCACATTTTCTTCTCCTTTCTCTTAGTGAGATGTCTAAGTTCAACATCACACTCATTTCCGCATTTCTACTTCCTATAAAAGTGAGCTCTCTAGGCAAGATAGTGTGAAAAGGGTATAGGTTCCCCCTAACAGCCCCCAGGCCTATACCAGTACCTGTGAGGAGGTTCCTCTGTGGCAGACCGCTGCGGTTCATCTCCCCCTTGACTCCCTCCAGGATGGGCCTCATGCTGCTCTGTAGGGACCCTCCTAGAGAAGCCCCCTCTGACGAGCCCAGGACCTTCCTGAAGAACTGCTCAGAGTCCTGACTCTCCATGCCCTGAGGAAGACCTGGGAGAGAGACAGAACAGGAGGTAAGACAGTGGGGAAAAGCGTCCATCAAGACAAAACTGATAGCATACAGTGGCTTGCGAAAGTATTCACCCCCCTTGGCATTTTTCCTATTTTGTTGCCTTACAACCTGGAATTAAAATGGATTTTTTTTAGGTTTGTATCATTTGATTTACACAACATGCTTACCACTTTGAAGATGCAAAATATTTTTTTGTGTGAAACAAACAAGAAATAAGACCAAAAAACAGAAAACTTGAAAGTGCATAAATATTCACCCCCACAAAGTCAATACTTTGTAGAGCAACCTTTTGCAGCAATTACAGCTGCAAGTCTCTTGGAGTATGTCTCTATAAGCTTGGCACATCTAGCCACTGGGATTCTTCAAGGCAAAACTGCTCCAGCTCCTTCAAGTTGGATGGGTTCCGCTGGTGTACAGCAATCTTTAAGTCATACACAGATTCTCAATTGGATTGAGATCTGGGCTTTGACTAGGCCATTCCAAGACATTTAAATGTTTCCCCTTAAACCACTTGAGTATTGCTTTAGCAGTATGCTTACGGTCATTGTCCTGGAAGGTGAACCTCCGTCCCAGTCTTAAATCTCTGGAAGACTGAAACAGGTTTCCCTCAAGAATTTCCCTTGGGGATGGTGTTCTCGGGGTGATGAGAGGTGTTGGGTTTGCGCCAGACATAGCGTTTTCCTTGATGGCCAAAAAGCTCAATTTTAGTCTCATCTGACCAGAGTACCTTCTTCCATATGTTTGGGGAGTCTCCCACATGCCTTTTGGCGAACACCAAATGTGTTTGCTTATTTTGTTCTTTAAGCAATGGCTTTTTTCTGGCCACTCTTCTGTAAAGACCAGCTCCGTGGAGTGTATGGCTTAGTGGTCCTATGGACAGACACTCCTTCAGGGTTATCTTTGGTCTCTTTGTTGCCTCTCTGATTAATGTCCTCCTTGCCTGGTCCGTGAGTTTTGGTGGGCGACCCTCTCTTGGCAGGTTTGTTGTGGGGCCATATTCTTTCCATTTTTGAATAATGGATTTAATGGTGCTCCGTGGGATGTTCAACGTTTCGGATATTTTTTTTATAACCCAACCCTGATCTGTACTTCTCCACAACTTTGTCCCTGACCTGTTTTGGAGAGCTCCTTGGTCTTCATGGTGCCGCTTGCTTGGTGGTGCCCCTTGCTTAGTGGTGTTGCAGACTCTGGGGTGTATATATACTGAGATCATGTGACAGATCATGTGACACTTAGATTGCACACAGGTGGACTTTATTTAAATAATTATGTGACTTCTGAAGGTAATTGGTTGCACCAGATCTTATTTAGGGGCTTCATAGCAAAGGGGGTGAATACATATGCATGCACCACTTTTCCGTTATTTTTTTATTTATTTTATTTTTTAACACGTTATTTTTTTCATTTCACTTCACCAATTTGGACTATTTTGTGTATGTCCATTACATGAAATCCAAATAAAAATCTATTTAAATTACAGGTTGTAATGCAACAAAATAGGAAAAACGCTAAGGGGGATGAATACTTTTGCAAGGCACTGTATGCCAAAACAAAACTCTTGCAAGTTTCTAGCACACAGACCTCTCACCAAAAGAAATTAAGCTCCTGCATACTACGCTTGTGAAGTATGCCTTTTATTAAATCAGCAACATTTCAGCATCACTGTGATCTCTTACCTTCATTCTTCTCCGTGTCGGAGCCTTGAGGGTCCGTTGAACCCTGTTCTTTGACAGATGAAGACGACCCTGCTCCCTCTCCCTGAACCTGGGATCCTTCACCCCCCTCCTGCTTCAGGTGCATCCCAGCCCCCATTGCTTGCTCCCTGGCCTCCATTGCATCAGGTGCGGTGGGTCTGGCCCCTGGTGCATGGGGCAGTGGAGGTCGGAGGAGACCCATGGCACCATGATGCCTCTGTCCTGGGGGAACCAGGAGCGCCTTCTTACTCAGGTCCATCAGTTGTTTACCAAAGAACGCCTCCTACAGAGAGAGGGAGAGATAATTATGGTGTTAGCTAGTCCTATATGGAGTTGGTCTCTAGACACTATGGGCTAGTTTCCCCAGACACAGATTAAGTCTAGCCTTGGACTAAGAAGTAATTTCAACGGAGAATCTCAATTGAGCATGCTTTGTATTCCACTAGGATTCATTTGTCTGGGAAACTGGTTCCTTTAGGTTACTAACTGAAGTCTTTAGAATAGCACATGGTGAGAGGTGATGTGAGAGAATGTACCTGCAGGTAAGCTGGGAACATGTCCTCCAGTTTGCTCTTCTTCCTGCCTCGTCGTTTCTTGGCCTGCTCCCCCTCTCCCTCAGCTGGCTTAGTCTCCGGGGGGCCATCTATAGGCGTGTCTGGGTGGGGCCCTGTCAACAAACAACACGTGTCATTTCAGATGTTCAGAATCTCAATTTTGAAAGCAGGAATTTAATTATATTAAAATGTTGTTTTGGGTTGTAAATAAATCGTACATCGAAACAATGTATATTTGAATCCCGGAGGATGAGACATGAAAGCACATGAATAATAACAACCTATTTCCATAGTGGTCCTCAAAGGTTTATCATATTTTTTTACAAAATGTCTAAGAATTTGACCTCTCTCCAACAGATCAGAATATTTCAGTGTTTGACCAGTACAATGGTAGCAGGTGGCTGCTGTAACTTGTAACTGTAACTTGCCTTCCTCTAGGGCTGGCTTCTCTCTGGTCTGTCTATCTGTAGTAATTGTCCCGTCTCCAGCCAGATGAGACAGATGGGGGAACAGACCTTTCTTCATCCGCGTGTGACACTTCCTCTGGCGAACCATGAAGCCACCGATCCCTGCAGGAGATATAAAGAAGTCAGTTTCAAAACGTTTATTTGAAATGTGACCGTCATAGAGCAGTGACAAATGATATGCTCTCATTACAGGGGTCTGTTGAGCAAACCTGGGTTCTAATAGTATCTGTTTTCTTTCAAATACTTTGAGTGTTTGATCGAGTCTGTCTGGAGTGCCAGACCTGCACTTTCAGGACTATTCTATTAGTTCCATTGCACCAGGCAAGCTCAATCAAGCGAGGCTAAAGCATTGCAAAGAAAACAAATATTATTTTAACCAATATGTCTAGATAGAGTGCCCTCTGACCTGGTCTGTAGGGTTTCCTCTTCCTCTTCTTGCCCTCGTCAGTCTCCTCTCCTCCTCCTTTGAGGAGGCCCTCCTCCATGCCCTCACCACCTCCCTCTGCTCCCAGCTCTCTGTCTGGGCTCCCTGGAGGCTCCTGTTTTACACCAGGGGCTCCAGTCTCACATTCCATGGGCTCCCCACAGCCTGGAACAACAGAGATTCATGGTCAATACAGAGGAAGCGACAGACCAAAGTGGGTGCACAAATACATGCATGAGGTAAGGAATCACCTCTTGAAGAACATTAAATGTCATCAATCAAGAAGGTCCAAGATGACCTTTCAAAGCATATAAAAAAAGCTCTGGATAGAAGGTGTTCAAAGCACACATTTAGGATCAGTTTGCAACCCCAAATCTGAACCCCATTAGGGGATGAAGGCAAATCTGTCCTTCGATCAGTGTCAAGGCATGGAGCAACTTCATCCTCCTCCTATAGAAATCCCTTGTCACTTTGAGAAACAAAACAGTAGAAAGTCCACCCACCTTTTCCCTCGTCCCCATCTCCCTCGCCCTCTCTTAGCTCAATGCCGTCATGCCCTCCGTCGCCACACAGCATGTCCAGGCGGGAGCGCCGCTGCCGTCTCTTGTGTAGGGGAGACATAGAAATGCTACGCAGCAGGGACATGCCCGTCTCGGTCAGCCACACCCCCTCCAAGCGGTAGAACTGGGGCTCTGGGTGGGACAGGGAGGAGAGAGGGTTGATGACTGATAAAACTACACAAACAATGTGCTGATTCAGACAATGACAGAGGTTAAGGGAGGAGAAAGGTGATGAGTGAGTGCTCTTTCTGCTACACACAGAATGGATGTGCTTTGCTAGGCTGTCATTGCAAACAATAATTACTTGGATACATACAAATAAAATGTGCCAATTGTTAAAACTACAAGGGGTCGACTAAAGCACCTTGGAGGTGAAAAAACGTAATGTGTCATTACAAATAAACAGTGAAAGAGAGAGAAAACCAACCTGGTTCTTTTATCTTCATGGCTGTCATGTAGGTTGTATCCACTGTTACTGCAGACAATCCGAGGGGAAGTGTGATAATTACAGAAGACATTTCATGTTGTCACCGTTTCCACTTGTTTCTAATCAAATGGACTAGTTTTAAGTTGATAGACTTACCTATGGGTTTGGGAACGTAGGGAGTGCAGGAGGTGCAGGCAAAGCCCTCATCAGAAGCTTGCTCCACCTCGTCCTCAGTGTACAGACTCTCACACACCGCGTGCACCCATCTACATGGAGAGAAACACATAATGAAAGATATACCTCTCTTTCTGGATAAAGCTTTAACATGGTACAGCCAAAAAAGTAGAATGGGGGTCCCTAAAGGATCTGTCTTGGGTCCTCTTCTCTTTAGCCTAATTTAAATGTGTATATATATATATATATATATATATATATATATATATATATATATATATATATATATATATATATATATATATATATATATAAGGCTAAAGTGCCAACACTAACTAACTAAATATATATATACACACTACCATTCAAAAGTTTGGGGTCACTTAGAAATTCCCTTGTTTTTGAAAGAAAAGCCATTTTTTTGTCCATTAAAATGATCAGAAATACAGTGTAGACATTGTTAATGTTGTAAATGGCTATTGTAGCTGGAAACGGCTGATTTTTTAAAATGGAATATCTACATAGGCCCATTATCAGCAACCATCAGTCCTGTGTTCCAATCACATTGTGTTTGCTAATCCAAGTTTATCATTTAAAAGGCTAATTGATCATTAGAAAACCCTTTTGCAATTATGTTAGCACAGCTGAAAACTGTTGTGCTGATTAAAGAAGCAATAAAACTGGCCTTCTTGAGACTAGTTGAGTATCTGGAGAATCAGCAATTGTGGGTTCGATTACAGGCTCAAAATGGCCAGAAACAAAGAACATTTCTTCTGAAACTCGTCAGTCTATTCTTTTTCTGAGAAATTAAGGCTATTCTATGCGAGAAATTGCCAAGAAACTGAAGATCTCGTACAACACTGTGTACTACTCCCTTCACAGAACAGGGCAAACTGGCTCTAACCAGAATAGAAAGAGGAGTGGGAGGCTCCGGTGCACAACTGAGCAAGAGGACAAATACATTAGAGTCTAGTTTGAGAAACAGACGCCTCACAGGTCCTTAACTGGCAGCTTCATTAAATAGTACCCACATAACACCAGTCTCAACGTCAACAGTGAAGAGGCGACTCCGGGATACTGACCTTCTAGGCAGAGTTGCAAAGAAAAAGCCATATCTCAGACTGGCCAATAAAAAGAAAAGATTAAGATGGGCAGTCTTGTTTCTCAAACTAGACACTCTAATGTATTTGTCCTCTTGCTCAGTTGTGCACCGGAGCCTCCCACTCCTCTTTCTATTCTGGTTAGAGCCAGTTTGCCCTGTTCTGTGAAGGGAGTAGTACACAGTGTTGTACGAGATCTTCAGTTTCTTGGCAATTTCTCGCATAGAATAGCCTTAATTTCTCAGAAAAAGAATAGACTGACGAGTTTCAGAAGAAATGTTCTTTGTTTCTGGCCATTTTGAGCCTGTAATCGAACCCACAATTGCTGATTCTCCAGATACTCAACTAGTCTCAAGAAGGCCAGTTTTATTGCTTCTTTAATCAGCACAACAGTTTTCAGCTGTGCTAACATAATTGCAAAATGGTTCTCTAATTATTAATTAGCCTTTTAAATGATAAACTTGGATTAGCAAACACAATGTGATTGGAACACAGGACTGATGGTTGCTGATAATGGGCCTCTGTACGCCTATGTAGATATTCCATAAAAAATAAAATAAAATAAAAAGCTGTTTCCAGCTACAATAGCCATTTACAACATTAACAATGTCTACACTGTATTTCTGATCAATTTTATGTTATTTTAAATGGACAAAAAAATTGCTTTTCTTTCAAAAATAAGGGAATTTCTAAGTGACCCCAAACTTCTGAACGGTAGTGTGTATATATACAGTGAGGGAAAAAAGTATTTGATCCCCTGCTGATTTTGTACATTTACCCACTGACAAAGAAATGATCAGTCTATAATTTTAATGGTAGGTTTATTTGAACAGTGAGAGACAGAATAACAAAGAAATCCAGAAAAACACATGTAAAAAATAATATAAATTGATTTGCATTTTAATGAGGGAAATAAGTATTTGACCCCTCTGCAAAACATGACTTAGTACTTGTTGGCAATCACAGAGGTCAGACGTTTCTTGTAGTTGGCCACCAGGTTTGCACACATCTCAGGAGGGATTTTGTCCCACTCCTCTTTGCAGATCTTCTCCAAGTCATTAAGGTTTCGAGGCTGACGTTTGGCAACTCGAACCTTCAGCTCCCTCCACAGATTTTCTATGGGATTAAGATCTGGAGACTGGCTAGGCCACTCCAGGACCTTAATGTGCTTATTTTTGAGCCACTCCTTTGTTGCCTTGGCCGTGTGTTTTAGGTCATTGTCATGCTGGAATACCCATCCACAACCCATTTCCAATGCCCGGGCTGAGGGAACGAGGTTCTCACCCAAGATTTGACGGTACATGGCCCCGTCCATTGTCCCTTTGATGCGGTGAAGTTGTCCTGTCCCCTTAGCAGAAAAACACCCCCAAATCATAATATTTCCACCTCCATGTTTGACGGTGGGGATGGTGTTCTTGGGGTCATAGGCAGCATTCCTCCTCCTCCAAACACGGCGAGTTGAGTTGATGCCAAAGAGTTCGATTTTGGTCTCATCTGACCACAACACTTTCACCCAGTTCTCCTCTGAATCATTCAGATGTTCATTGGCAAACTTCAGACGGGCATGTATATGTGCTTTCTTGAGCAGGGGGACCTTGTGGGTGCTGCAGGATTTCAGTCCTTCACGGCGTAGTGTGTTACCAATTGTTTTCTTGGTGACTATGGTCCCAGCTGCCTTGAGATCATTGACAAGATCCTCCCGTGTAGTTCTGGGCAGATTCCTCACCGTTCTCATGATCATTGCAACTCCATGAGGTGAGATCTTGCATGGAGCCCCAGGCCGAGGGAGATTGACAGTTCTTTTGTGTTACTTCCATTTGCGAATAATCGCACCAACTGTTGTCACCTTCTCACCAAGCTGCTTGGCGATGGTCTTGTAGCCCATTCCAGCCTTGTGTAGGTCTACAATCTTGTCCCTGACATCCTTGGAGAGCTCTTTGGTCTTGGCCATGGTGGAGAGTTTGGAATCTGATTGATTGATTGCTTCTGTGGACAGGTGTCTTTTATACAGGTAACAAACTGAGATTAGGAGCACTCCCTTTAAGAGTGTGCTCCTAATCTCAGCTCGTTACCTATATAAAAAGACACCTGGGAGCCAGAAATCTTTCTGATTGAGAGGGGGTCAAATACTTATTTCCCTCATTAAAATGCAAATCAATTTATAACATTTTTGACATGCGTTTTTCTGGATTTTTGTGTGATTATTCTGTCTCTCACTGTTCAAATAAACCTACCATTAAAATTATAGACTGATCATTTCTTTGGCAGTGGGCAAACGTACACAATCAGCAGGGGATCAAATACTTTTTTCCCTCACTGTATATATATATATATATATCTATTTCAACAACCTTTCAGATATCTGTACGTATGTTTGTGTAGTTGTAATGAGTGGTACCCACCTGTCACAGTGTTGACACTGCAGCAGCAACTCCTCCTCCATGAAGTTCTCCCTGCAGACAGGGCAGGTGACCAGGCTGGCACAGGGGCCACAGTGGGTGTAGTTGTTCTGCCACTCACAGTGGAACCCCGGGCTGCTGGCACCACACTGCATACAGCTCACACACCTACACAAGTAACAGACAACAGGGACAATGAGCAATCAGGTTCAAGTACACTATCAGACAGATACATTTTCAAAATGGTGGTGTAATTCTTGTTGCTGGTACAGTTTGTGAAAATTGATCACAAAAAAGTTCAGATGTAACCGAGAAACAGAAAGTAAAGATAAGACATCTGAGCTTTTAAAGTTAGGCTGCAGGACCTTTTTTGTGTGCATACTATGCATATTCTGGTACAAGTTCATTTACATTTTAACCTTATTCAGACCCAACAACATGACTGAACGGGCTATCGTGGTGAAAGAGTTGCTGTTGTTGTTTCTTCATGGGTATTTTTTAAGCGAGAGAAAGAGAGTTGTGATTAATGCTTACCATTTGCATTTCCACCCCCCCTTGGGTACAGTGTGTAGGGGCGGGTCCAGGCAGTAGGTGTGGTAGCTGACATCACAGTCGTCACACAGTAGCAGGCGGGCCGGGTCCGAGGCCTTGCCACACACCTCACACACGATACATTCCAGACAACGCCAGCCCTTACGCAGCATCATCTTAGTCATCTGCAAGAGCGAGGAGAAGGGGAAAACAGTGTAAAAAAATAGATTCAAAAAGAGTTTTTGATTTCTGAAAATGGCATCAAGATGAAGCCAGAGGTATGTGTGTTGTTGTAACTCTTGAACCCTTGTTTTTTTATTTCTTTATAGTGGCCTATTGCAAAGCATCTTTGAGTATGCGAAAAGCGCGCTATTTTTTATTATTATTATTATTATTATTATTAGGAAGACTAGCTGTATAAAGATGATGTTATAAAGAATAAAGAGGTTTATGCTTACTTTGCTGTTTACACAGTATGGATGGTAACATTGGGCACACTGAGCACACGCCAGCAGCTGCCCCTCCACACCCTTCCCAAAACTGCCACACACCACACACATGTCCTAAGAGAGAGAAAGGGGGAGGGGGGGGGTGAAAGAGAGAGAGAGAGAGGGAGGGAGAAAGACAGAAGGAAAAACCCAGTCAGCTTGGGTTACAGTGAAGATGCATTAATGTCTAAGATTGTCTGACATGGAAAATGCCACAGGGGAACTGGAAAATGTCAAACCGAAACGCATGAGACCAGAATTACCTGAAGCAGGACAAATTTATCTGTGTTGGAGAAGAGCACCACTGTGTTCTGCATAGCCTCATCTTCCTCCCCCTCCTCCTCCTCTTTACACAGTCCAGTGTCTGCTGCTGTCATGCTCAGCTGGGATAAGGAATATTACACATTCTGATATCAAGTTCCAAGTTCCAATCAAGTGGTCTGTATTGAATGAACTTTAGACAGAGATCAAGTTCCAAATATTCTAGATTTCCGTGACAAATCGCTGCTGTGGTTTGTATCTATTGTAAGGTTCAATGTCGACATTTGATGACAAAATCGAGTAAGTGAGTGAGTTAGTGAATTAATGGTGTTTGAATGTATGAATGTTTCTGTGTCGTCGGTCGGTTTTACTCACCAGGAAGGCGTCGATGCAGGAGGCCATGGCTTTGAGGCGGTTCCTTCCGCCACGGCCCCTCCCACCGCCACCACCGCGAGGGCGCCGCTTCCCCGGGAAACTGCTGCTGCCCCGCCCCTGAAAAGACCAACACCAGCCGTGTCAGTACCTCATCACATACGATAACTGACCGTTTTTAGAACTGATGAATAAGAATAAGACTACTGCATCTAGCCATTGCCCAACACATAACACAGAACATATTTTGCAGAGACAGTTTTGGAACCTCAATATCATTGAGAAATGGGCCTATCATAACAACAAAAGCCCTATGACAGAGTTTAGACTTTTGAATGAGTGTCGATTGTCTATGACACTGAATTGTTACTGGACCGTACCTGTTTGACCCGGGAGCGCCCCGGCGAGCCTCTCCTCTTCTTCTCCCCGTCTGGTTTGAGGGGGTCAAAGGGCAGCGAGTCGTCCGTCTCAGTGAGCAGGGAGTCGGAACGGGAGCGTCCGGTGGGCATCAGGCTAAGCTCCATGGACAGCTGTCAAATCAAAATCCAACTTTATTCAAAGTGCATTTAAAATCGCAACACACTTCACAGTAAAACAATAAAATGAAAGTAAAAGCAAACGAGAAGCAGTAAAAGGGATGAATATAGCAACATAAAACTCAATGAACGTTTAAAATAATACAATTACTGATTAAAGGGGCACTCTGCGGTTGCTACATCCATTTTTGACTGGATGGTCAGTCCTAGTATCCATAGCTCTGTCCATGAATTGGAGGGAGGTTAAATTTCTCCAACCCCTCTTTTTACCAAAACAGTGGCAGGGTGTCGCTTTGTTATTGTTTGAACTGCAGATTTCCCTTTTAAAGGCCAAGCTAAAAAGGTGAGGTTTTTAAACGTGATTTATAGACCTCAATGGTGTCTGCCCCTATTACCTGTGCGTCAGGCTCTGCCTCAGCTTCGTTCTCGGCCGGGGAGCCCAGGAAGCCAGAGCTGCTCTCGTCGCCGTGACTCTGGTGACTCTGGTTGGACATCTCATCCAGGAGGAGTTGATCAGGCTTCGTCTCCTCCTGCTCCTCCGTGGGGTCCTGGGGCTCCTGCTTGATCTTGACCCTTCTGTGATGACTATGATGACCTTCTCCGCCTGCCTCCTTCCCCTGCTGTTCCTCCTCTTCTTCTACAAACTCCTCCTCCTCCTCAGAGTGAGTCCCCCTGTCCTCCATGTCCACAGTAGAAGGAGCAGCCTCCTGTGTGTTGGCCTGTGGAGCAGGAGGAATGGGAGACCCTGAGCGCTCCTCCTTTAGCCCCGCCTCAACTGTGTCCATGGAAACATACTCTGACTCTTGCATGGAGATGGGAGGGGTTGGTGACTCTGGCGAGTCCCGAATGAATGGCTTGGTGGTAGACATGCCCTCACCGCTTATCTTCTCCTCCTTCTCCTGTGTTGACTGCTGCTCTGTTGAGGGCTTGACCTCCACCTCCCTCTCCTTTCTGTGGTCAGGGCCTAGCTGGACTACTGGTGCTGGCTCTGGCGACTGTGGTGGTTGCTGTTCTGGTGACTCCGGTGACTCAAGGACAGGGACAATGCTGACCTGGGGTTGGGGCATCTGGTTGGAAGCCTCCTCTGTTCTCTCTTCCACAACAGCCACAGGTAAACTAGAAGCCTCCTGTTGTTCTGTTGTTTCACATGCTTCTGTAACCTCAGCCTGGACCATGGGCTGTTCTGCAGGGACTTCCTCCGTTTCCAGCTGAGGCCCCTCCTCCATGGTGCTCTCTGTCCTTTCTACCACTTCAGCCTCCGTCCCTGTTGAGAAGACAAAGTCAGCTTCATCACACCACTACCATCATACACTCTGATTGTGTACTACCATTCTATCGCGCATCACATAAATTCCTTTAGAGCGAGGATGGCTTAGATAAGAAAAACGTGGGTAGAGTTTGTCGTGTTGCTCTTTCAGAGATGGAGCTAACTGTTAACTCTTCCCTTTTATCAAGGTCTGTAGACCCTTTTATCAAGTATAACAAAAAAGTGCTAAATCAACGTACCCAGCTCCATGGGCACCTCCTCGTCCGTCTTGGTCTCCGCCTGTTCCATCGTCACCTCCTCAGACATGTCCGTCTGTCCCACGGTCATCTCGGACACGGCCGTCTGTCTTTCTATCGTAACATCAGCCGCCGAGTCTGTCTGGATTGGCATCTCGGCAACTGTGTCTGTCTGTCCTTCTATCGTCACCTCAGACCCCGTCTCTGTGGTCTGCAGCTCCATCGTGTCCGTCTGTCCTTCTGTCTGTGTGACAGGGTCTGGCGGAGGCTCTCTGTCTCGGCAGAGCGAACAGATCCACTTTTCCTCAGGTGGCTCCGACGTAGAGGAGCACTCACTGTGCACCCACCTAGTGAGATGACAGAGGAATGGTCAAGAACGAATGAACGAAGGAGGAAAAAATTCTACATAGTCGTTATCAATGCCTGCTGCTGTTCTTTAGGCTAGGGTCTAGGCCGGGTTATTGTAAAATACTTTAGAACGCCTTTTTCATCAAGTTGTTACAAAACATTTTGATTCATATATTTACTTATTGATTCCGTCTGAGGCAGTAGACATACCTGTTGCAGGTGCTACAGCGCGGCAGCGTGACTGGTGGTTCCGAGGCTTTGCTGCAGACGCCACACGTAGAGCTGCGGGTACGTTGGCAGCCCTCACACACGGCATAGTTGTCAAACCACTGGGCCGAGCCGGGCAGCGTCAGACCATTAGCACCACAGTCCGTACACACCCGACATCTCTGAGATGGGGGGGATACATAGGTGAAATTAAAAGAGGCTATTCACACAGGGAACACACACAAAGTGATTATTTTCAGAAATGTTCACATAGAAAAGGTTATTTTCTCGCATATCCATACTTTAAATTTACAGAACTATCATAAAAGCCTCCAAAGAAACAGATAAATAACTTTAACCATTTACAGTAAGATATGTTCATTGTCAACATATGGCTAAGGACTTCAATTATAGGGCAGCATTATCTTCCTTTCCTAACAGAGGATACTATGGCAGGAGTAGCAATATCAGCACATGTTCAGCATGTTCTTACTCTGCACTTCCATGTGTCTGAGGGAAGAGAGTCCATGGCTGGCTGGAGACAGAAGGTGTGGTAGCCCTTATCACAGGCATCACATACTAACATCATCGAGTCCTCCCCTGGTTGCCTGGAAAATTATAGAAAATAGGATTTTATTCAATAACAGCTGTATGCCTTGTTTCTAAGACGCAATAGACAATGACAACATCTTAGAGTGTTTTACTGGAAAAGTCACATGATCAGGGAAACCCTTGCTCCTACTAATTGGGAGCATGTGGTAGGTGGTCGGAAGCATTTAGGAACAGCATTTCGCAGTTTCCCAAAGGGCACATCAATCCAGTAAACAACATTTTTATTTTATATGTAAAAATAGTGATTTTCCCATTTAAAAAATGGATTACCCCAAAAATGTAAACAAATGTGAGATTGGGCAGCAAAGAGACATTCACCTGCATGTCTGGCACACTTTACACTCTGGGCACTGCCACCCTGATCTCTGTATGGGCGTGGCGCTGATCTCCAGACAGGCGGCGTGGTAGTGCTGCCCACAGCCCGTACAAAACAGAAGGTCCAGCAGCTCCCCCGCAGAGTCACAGACTGCGCACTGAGCCTCCTCACCCGCTGGAGGACAGACAAACCTTAGTTAGCGAACCAAACGATCACGTGACCAAAATCACACACACACACACACATACTGTACCTCACAGTTACAGAGCATAACCTAATGATCGAGTTGGGGCTTTGAACTCAACATTGGAAGGTGTCCTTACCCATCTCCTCAGCCTTGTCTATGTGCTCCGGACAGAGGAGAGCTAGCTGCTTCATGGACTGAAAGGAGCCGCTGGCAGCAGAGCAGGGGAAGTGGTAGAACCGTGAGCAGCCCTCAGCATGGCACCGGATGGTAGCACCCAGACGCTTGCAATATTCACACAGCTAAAAAGACGGTTCAGAGACAAGGTTATGGGCGAGACACTAGAGGGAATCATTTTTACTACAACAAAGAAATGTTACAGGAGAGAATATAGAACCACACCATTCAAATGAATTGTACTTCTTAATACTATTGAGAGCGTGCAGGTTTTTCCTTTTCTAAGAATTTCTGAAAACCATTATTGAAGGTGCCTGCAGGTTTAATGGCAGGTACATTCACTGAGCTGAACCCAGAACTGTCCAGAACCCTGCACATCTTTGTATCAGAAGTGTTCAGTTGAGTTCTTCTTTAACTCCAATCAGCAACAATTGTTAACGTTATATATAGAGAGTCCTGGGATCTATAAAAACATGTCATTTTTTTAATCTATGAGTGGTCAACTTACCCGCTGTGTCCCTGAGATGACGGCCTTGTCCACATTCTCCAGCTCCTCCTCAGCCTCCTCCAACTGCTTCACCCCATCTGACCACACCGCACACCAGTGATGCACCCAGCAACCCCCTGCTCAACACATTACAACCACACACTAAGATTCAGATACTACACCTGTATGGTCTCTGGCTTCTGATCAATTATTGGAATTTCTGTAAAATGCTTTATAATATGGGTTTGGGGATAGACTTACTATGTAAACTGCACTGTGTGTACAAGCTCCCCAGTGGGTAAAATATTAGTAAACCCCCCCCCCCCCCCCCCCTTTTTTTTTTTTTTAATCCTTTTTTTCCCTAATCCCACTGAGGTCAAAATAACTCTTTCTCAAGGAAGACCTGGCCAAGAAAACAGTTTCAGTAAAACAAAATAGAAATGTGATGAGATGAGTGTGGAGTCCCACCTGTGTCCTCCAACTGTGCTGCCAGACAGGATGCGTCGGAGTCTGAGAATCCGATGGAAGACAGGTCATCGTTCCCAGGCCCTGGCAGTGAGGAAGCTGAGGGCTCTAGGGCTGGCCGGGAGGAAGATGGCCCAAAATGTCGGAGTTCCCGTTGTCCATGCAGGCTGCGCTCCACGCAGTTACAGAGAGCACAGGCCCTCACCCTGTTCTCCCTGTGCAGACAGACAGACAGTGTTAGACAGATAACATACAGATAAGTGGATCCAAAAAAGGTATAATGTGCAGGTCAACAAGAAGCAAAATGACTATTGCACTCACCTCAAACTTCAATACTATTACATTCCATATTATACTTCTCCAATATCAACAATATAAACCCAGCTAAGCTTATTTGGAAGTACACCTCAGACTTCACATCTCCCATGTAATGCTGGGCAGTGCACTACAGCCCTCATGATCTGACGATATTCATCAACTCTTGGCAGAACAATGGGAGTTTGCTCTAAAAATCAATATTTTGTAGAGAATGTCATCTGGGTGTGTGACTGGTATTGGTATTGGAATGTGCCAATGTCATTTGAAATGCTGAAGAAACTAAATCTATTTTTTCCAGCACATCTAAAAATGGACTTACACAGGTGTGTTGGAAGTGGCAGCAGCAGTGTCCGACACGTCTTCTGCAGCGGAAGGGGCCTCTGACTCCACCTCTGAGAGGACTGGCTGCTCTGTAGGGGCGCTTTCATCAGCTGGGTGAGGAATCAAATTAACATTAGTCCACATGTCTTTTATCAATGGATATTGCTTTTTAAAGTAAGTGGCATTCTGATAAACCTTTGCTAAAGAAAATTCCTATAGGCTACTGTATGAAAATCCATGATACAAAAACAAAACAAAATTGCAACAATTTAATTCTGGTATATGTATTGATTAATTTTCTAATAAATCAAATCTGCTCAATAACAACTACATTATATAACCTAGATTAGCATTTCCTGCAGAAAGGAGAATAGTTGCAGAGGAAGTAATGAAGCTGACATTATACATTTGTGAAGCCTTGAAGTAAAACAAATGTGTGTAGTTGAAAACGATTCAAATTATCAACAACTACTGTTTTCTGACACCACAGCATGTATGTCATTGTACCTGTCGGTTCAGAGACATTTTCTTCGCAGTTTGATTTCGGCTTGTCCATCCCCTCTGCTGATCTCCTTGACAGAGACCTGAAACATAAACAAACAATCAGAGTCACCAAATTAGAATAGAGGTAAGGCACGTTATTATATACCAAAATAAACAATAACATTACATATGCACATTATTTACTACATATACTTAGGCGGGAAAAAACAACTACCGGTTGTCACAGTTATGTTATCTGACTTCCAATCGCAAAATCCTGCGAGGCTCAATTTCCTTTTGTGCCGGGCAGAAGCCGGATATTTCACATTGTTGCAGTAGCTATAATAGCTAGATTATTAAATAGACAGCCGACGTCAGCTAGCTCTTTTGGCTATCTCATAACCTCAGACGACTGACAAATTCAAGAAATGTATAAATATAGCTAGTTAACGTTCGTAGGAAGATAACTAATTCAATACAAACCTTTAGCTATTTGCATTGGGATACTAAATGCATCATTTTGATACACGTCATCGTTTAACCGCGATCCAATCTATCGGAATGAATATGGCTGTTTATGTGCTAAATGTAGTTGAAACCGCTAGCTACGTCGTTAACTGATAGCCTTCTTGCTAACCAAGTAGCTAGCTCGCTACCCGGGATTCGCAAACTTGCATGAAAATAGCGTGTCGGTGACTAGCTAAATATATTAGAAATGTTTTAAGACATTTCAATCTTTGTTTTGCCAGCAATGCATAATCCAAACCCGCACGAGTCATGTATGAAAAAGAACAAAATATAGGAACTTAAATGTTGTTTTCTTTAAAGAAAACAACCCTTAACCGAGATACACAAAGAAAATACAACTTCCGTGTACATTACTTCCTGTTGCAACAGTGTCAATTTCGTGCTGAAGCCATACCACCGTGTAGCAGAGTTCCGCTAAAATTATACGGAATAAAGGTACAGTAAATAATATTACATTGTATGAGTAATCGATTTGTGATATGTTAACCATGTAGACTACATTTCCCAATATGTAGCAATTTTACATATTTAGTGAGAGTTGAAGCCACACAACTTTCAGTAAAAACCCAGGAAAGCATTGAGCCTATGCCACCTCCAGTAATCGCTGAAGTCCAAATGAACCCAACAACAGTTCACTCCAAAATCAAAGTTTGCCAGATGTTTTCAGCCTTCAAAAGTGGTCTAATGTCAGACGAGTCTACATTCCACACCATTTTTTGTACAGCTAAGCCTCAACCCCAAATGAATGGAAAATGAGGGAATTGGATGAGAGTTGAGGAGAGTATTTTAGGACAATCAGGTCCTAGCGGACTAAACTCCACTCCATGGTGAAGGACGTTTCTGATTAACTCCACCAACGGAGTGGAGCATAGACCAGGCTTTGTGGGATTCAGCTCCGACTACATCGATTCGACCCAAGATCAATACTTTTTTTTATGCACATTATGAAACACAAACCTTGTACCTATGTTTGTCCTCTGTAGTTGTGCCTTTCTTTGTTTGACGAAATCCATTATTTTTCAATAAACAGTCACATAATACCACCGACTGTTTTCTCATTGCCGTTGCTCTAAGATGGCAACTCAGCGCAAATGTGCATGTGCCAATTAAATCTCAGCAAGGAAACATTCAGTGGTTGTATTTAATTGTTTTTTGAAAAAGTATGGATCTCAAACAAAGGCACGCACCTACAGAGGACAAACATAGGTACAAGGTTAGCGTTTCATAATTTACATTTTTTGAAGTATTGATCTTGGGCGAATCGATGTAGTCGGAACTGAATTCCACAAAGCCTGGTCTCTGCTCCACTCCGTTGGAGGAGTTCATCAGAAACGTCATTCAACATTGAATGGAGTTTAGTCAGCTAATCAGATCCATGTATTAACCTTCTCTACTGTGAAGTGTGAAACATGAACAACAAATCAAATGTACCTCGCCTCCACATAATGATGTAATGTACAATGAATTGTATGTAGTGATGAGTGGCTTTGGAGTCATAGGAGGTTAGTGGCACCTTCATTGGGGAGGACGGGCTCATAGTAATGGCTGGAATGGTATAGTATAGAACTCAAACACATGGTTTCCATGTGTTTGATAGCGTATTTCATTCACTACATTCTAGCCATTTATGAGCCATCCTCTCCTCAGCAGCCTCCTATGTTTGGAGTAACCCATTCATGCATTTTTTTACTAAGTAGGGCCTACTGTAATACAAACTCACAAATCTGTGTGTTAAGGCTATACCTGTGTTTATTACAGCAAGCCACAGTTTTTACTTGTGTAACAATATTGCTCGTTCCAGTGCAGCTGGTTGTGTTCAGAATCAGATCACAATTTGCACATCTTCTTGCCATGAAAATTAGGAACATGGCTACAATTTGCACATCAACATGAAAAGTAGGCACATAGCTTGCCAAGTACCTCAACTCCATGATGATTTCATCCACAGAGTTGAGCGCAGACTAGAGTTGTTTAAATAAACCTCTGACTCGCTATGCAGTTGATACTTCGAAATGTAAATCTGTGTACCTATGTCCTCTGTTGTTGCATGCCTTTGTTAGCAGAAATCCATACATTTTAATAAAACATTAATCAAATACAACCACCGGCTGTTTACTTGTTGAGATTCAATTGGCACATGCACATTATAGGTTGAGTTGTCATCTTAGAGCAACAGCAATGAGGAAACAGTCGGTGGTTGTATTTGATCAACGTTTTATTAAAAAGTATGGATTTCAGCTAACACAGAAAGGCACGCAACAGAGGACAACCATGGGTACACGGTAGTTTTAGAATTTAAAATGTTTAAGTATCGACTACATAGCAAATCGAAGGAGTAGGAGGTTCATTTCAAAAACTAGTCTGCGGGCAACTCCATGGATGAAATCATCGTGGAGTTGAGGTAGCTAGTTAATTGGCAAGCACATATAGCTAGTATATCAAACTGTATGATTGGAATAAAGTGTTTGGGGGGACTGGTCCATTTCCTTAAGAGACTGCTACAATGCTCTTCTGCTACCTAATACACAGTATAGGCTACAAGAAGACGTATCTTGTGTTGTGACTTTTGGAAAGGGTGGCCATGTAACTAGTTACCGTTAGCCATTTTGTAACCAAGCCAATAACTAGCGTAGCTAGAATCTATCAGTGATCACTATGATTACTGTAAATACAGACAGAACTGAAAGCCACCGACGACATGTTATTGGATAACGTTAGCTAACTAGCTAAGTTGGTTGATTACCTATTAAGTTTACAGCGTATTTCAATCACTTACTAACGTTCGACCGAAACTAAACCCGTGTAGCACACGACGAGCTAGCTACTAGTAGCAAGTTAACCAGCAGCTAACGTTAGTGGGCGAGCAGTAGTAGGCCATTTTACAATTAAGTAACGTTAACTAGCTTGCCTGAATGGACCCTGATTTATAACCGTCCTAGTTAGCCATTGCCAAATAATGACTATGCCTAACGTTAGTTAACCAAGAATAACACACAAGTCCACTTGATAGGCAACTACTAGCTAAAATCATTGCATGTGTCAAAACAGCAACGTTTGAATTAACCGTTGGGTAAACTAGCTAAGTTAAATGATTGATGAACATAGTTGCTAAATAGGAAACAAGATAGGTCGCTTGCCAACTAACGTTACGGCACTGAGTTGACTAACTACGCAGTTGAAATAAGTGGCCAGCAGTTAACTAAACATAGCTAGCTATGTTTAGTTATCTTGCTAAGCATGTAGCTAGCTAGCTAACGTTAGCAGAGTAAATTCAAGTCGTTATCTAACGCTAACTAGTCGAAGTAGCGGTAGTTAGCGATTGCCCATCCTTTATCAACTAGTTAGCTAATTTTAGCATTAAAGGTCAGAAGTTGATTCGTCAAATAGCTTTTATGTTATTCAACCAAACAACTCACCTTACAATGTGATGGTTGTGTCTTCATACATCAGATTACAATCCATTTTGCAGCAGGCTACACAGTTAAATAGTTTATGCTTGTCTCATTTTACTTAGCGGGCTAGCTAAAGCTAGCCGACTGGAGAAGGAGGTGAGTGGGGGAAGTGCACAGCGGGTGGCAGGGCTGGATAACTAGCCTAGCTAGTTAGCCAGCCACGGTCGGAGCTGGAGAGGCAGAGTTGATAGACAGTTGCTAACACGCTATGAAAATGATTCAACAAAAATAAATGGTCGACAAGCATAACATTGTAATCCTCCAGAAAAATGCACAACGAATATCCCGATGTTCAGAAACACAGGTGGAGAATGTTCAGTAGTTGATGCTAACTACATTAGCTAACGACGCTAGCTTCTCAATAGCTTGCTGGTCCGGAGATTACAGTAAATTTGCATCCGATTTCGATCCAAAATTAGGCAACATCTCGATTTATTAGCTTGCTAAACTTTCAGGCAATATTTGACAATGTTTACGACACTTAACGCCTTGAACGTTAGCTAGCTAGCTACTCTTGTCCGGATCAACATCACTTTCACTTAGACTTCATTGAACAAATCCACACGAGTGTGTGTTCCGTCAAGTGGCTAGCTAAATTAGCAGCTATCAAGCTAATAACAACAACGTCAAACCTCTCATGTCTGCAAGGGAGGACATTTGCATGCGCCACTCCAAATTGCT